TTACCTTGGTTTTGCTCCACTAGAAAATAATGCGAAAAGTGAGAAATACATCATGACAATGTTTGGGGAACTGATTTTTCCAGTCCACCAGGGAACAGTGTTTGAAAGTAACATGTAGTCTTTCACATGGACTACTGCTCCATGAATACTATCACATTACAAAGACTTCTAGCCATCAGTAGTGCTGGAGCATGTAATCAGTCCTTCGGCTCTGAACAGTCAAGACAATTACCATCATCGATATGGAATTTATGAAATTGAAAATGTGGCTTTTGTTTAGGGTAAAATGATACAGCAAGGTCAAGATACGATACATATCACAATACATAGCTCATGATATGCATATATATGTAGAATCATGGTAACTTTTTAACTATAAATATTTCAGAGCCTGTTCAAAAGGTAGAGCTAGCTGTAGTCACATGTTCGTAGTGGCTATATTTAGTAATGAACAGGAAACCCTAATTACAACACGTTTCGTGATATTTGACTGATGAATATGCTGGGTGTCATTTTAACGAGTAGTAAGTAATTTCTTTTAGCAAGTGTATTATCTTTTATCGATGCAGCAAAACATGGATGTGTATTCAATCGTCACATGGAAACTCGCGATGCTTTGGTGCACGCATGTTTTCGTTTCACCCCTAGTTTTTGTATTGTGGTGCCGTCAAGATGCTAGACAGTCTATATCCATATTCAAGAGGAGCCAAACAATTTTTGAGGGACACAAAACAGGACATCAACTGATCCAGCATGTCGATTGTCCAGTGAACTACCGTATTCGACGTAATAAGCGCCCAGGGCAATATTTGCTAATATGTTGGCTAGTGAACAATCTCAATTAGGCCCCCTTCCGATTGATCAATGTACACAAGACTTATTTATTCGTGTATAATACACACTCATGTGTTATATGCACCCTTAATTATGGGCAATTAAATTCTGGAAAATTTATCTGTCGTATATAAACACTTCGGGCTGTTGACATTTACCACGAAATTTACAATCTTTCACCAAAATAGTATTCTAATAAGACCCCCCTAATTTTTAGAGCGCCCTGGGCGCTTATTACGGCAAATATGGTATGTATTATTATTTCTTAAATTGTTTATATACTTTTAAGGTTTTTTTCATTTTTCAGAAACACATTAGTTGGGTTTTTTAAATCTCTCGCTCTGTCTTGCTCTCTCTTCTCTCTCTCCCCAACCCGACCCCTGAAATCAGCCCCTTATGCTTGTAATGAATACAAAAGAAGAGGAAGACTTACTGTTCCTCAAAGGCTGTGAGAGGGCACAGCAGGACTGATACTTTGTTTCCTGTAGCTGATAAACAAAGCAAATGCATGTTGCTGATATATCTGGAGTTGAGTAGACATTAAGCAAGTTGAGTATGTGCTGGGATATCGGTTACAACGCTGACATTGATGAAAGAATGAGTTTTGAAATCAAATTGTTCAAATTGATTATGCATTGTCGAGTCAGATAACATTATTTGCAAGCTCAAGGTGAATGCGGAATTCATTTCGCAGTCAAAAAAACAGCAGTTAGATTGATACTGGTCTCATGGGTCACAGAGAGTTTTCAAATTGAATTACAAGATTGAATTACATTGCAAAGTTATCTTTGTTCTGGTCTTAGATCTAAGTAAATGTCTTATACTTGGCATGTACTTATGAATTAAATCCATCATTGTGATAAATAACATTGAAGAAAATATTTCTGGGGGACTTTAAAAATATTCACCTCTTGTCATAAGAGACAAATGATAATTGAGTGGTTAGTATGTGAGACCAGGGCCATATTCAACTGAAGCAATCTTAGCACTAAGACTTTCATACTTAGACATAGTCTTACGCTAGTTGTGGTGCTAAGACAGCTTTGTGGAACAGGTCCCTGGATGTTTACAACGCGATCATAGCCTTACGAGTGTCGTAACATTATGTTAAGGTATGGTAATTACTCATACAGTCATAGTGCTAAGATCACGAGAGTCTTTTTCACAAAGCGATCTTAGCATTACACCTCTCATAAGTCTGTCTGACAGTATGTGTGCTTAGGAATGATCATCTTACAGAGATTCCAACATTTACAATTTCTTTTTTCACGAGTTATTTACATAGTAAATTGTTACTGCACCAGTGACATGAAGCATTCTACTGCGAGACTATGATTATCAGTGAGAGTCATGCTTTCAAATCACATAGTGTTGAAACATCCATTACTCGCTGATTCAATGTTTCTGATTGGTTGTAATGTTAAAACATACTCAAGTCATTTTATCGGTTGATCTTTTCAGGTGCAGACAGGGAACTAATTCCATGTACACTAATGTTACTTTGGAAGTTTAAACACTACTTTGTCATAATGAAAATAAGGATTTGATTATTGTTACAGATAAATTTAATGAATGTCTGGAGCTTACACCACATGTTTCACTTATGTCTAGGCCTAACAAAACTGTCGAAGCAGAAGCCCACTGTTGACTTGGTACTGTTGACATTACTCTTTTTCAAAAGAAATTATGCTTTTTCACCCCACTGATTACTTCAAAGCTTCAGCTAGGGGTGCCATCTCTGGTCTTAGCATTTAGATCACTTGAGAATGGGGCACTGGTTGATTGTGTGTCATTATGCTGTGATGGTGTGGGCCATTGCTCGAATGTAGTCTACTGCTGGTTTACCTCGCTCACGCTCTATCACAGACAACTAATGTAGGCCACATGAATGGCAGGTTATTAATGACAGTAACTAGCAAAAACAACATTTACATTCCCACAACAACATTGCATTCCTAATACAATATCTTGTATGGTTACTATCAGTCGAAGTAATAGTCCATCCCTATTGGGACTGGGCGATCTTAGAGCTACAACTGTTTAAGTCAGAAATAAGTAAAGAATTCAAGTTACAATTGTCTTAGCACAGACATGGTTTTGTGGAGCAGGCACTCGAGCAGAATACGCCACCAGTATTTTGAACATGAACAACAGGCCCTAAAGGACACGCCACTAACATCACTGTGTGCAATGATCTTGAATGCGACGTTGAACCCCATTTCACCTCACCACCTATTCATTTTCACTATTACCACAAAAAGTTTCACATACACGTGGTCATAACAAGAACATGCACATATTCTTGTTCCTGGTACTGGTAGATGTGAGATCCTACATACTGACAGTTTACAGGAGATAGTTTACAAGATAACACAAGGAAGTTCTGAACATATACCGGTAACAAGAAAATATACGTACTGGATGTTTACAAATAATATATTGGCTAGCGAACAATCCCAATTAGCACACCTTCCGATTGATCAATGTACATAAGACGTATTTATTCGTGTATAATATGCACTTGTGTGCTATATGCAATTATGGGCAATTAAATTCTGGATAATACATCTGTCGTGTATATACGCACTCACTCACTCTTTTGTATCATTTCAGGCTGTCAGCATCAACCATGAAATTTTCGATCTTTCAACTCTGTTTTTGGGGATTTTTTTCTCACCAAAATTATATTCTATTAAGAGCCCCTTATTTGTAATTTTGAGAGCGTCCTTGGCGCTTATTACGTCGAATACAGTATATATTTTAATATATTAATGCGTACATGAATGTCAGTCTAGGGAATTATCTGTAAAATTGATGAAGTCATTGGGAAACCCCCAGCTTTTTTTACCTCCAACACAAGCTGAGGCCCTCTTAACTAAGATTTGTGTCATAAGTAAGATAACGTTGTGATAGGTTTTAAGACAGCATCAAGAATAGCTCTTATGGCAATCATAATTTTAGTCACAAGTCGCTGATATTTGTCTTAAATGAGGCAGCTTCGTGAATATGCCTCCGGGTAAGATATACACTCAGAAAGCATAAGTCTAAATACCTGTCTATTATACTCTCATGTTAAATTGAAACATCTATATATAATAAAGAATCATCACTGACAATGCATGTATGTTGCTGAAACCTAGTTTCTGTCCTGTAATTAGTTTCAAGTCCTACTGAACTTGCATACTTCATGTAGACATACAAGTGTAACTGTAACCAATGGTAACAGAGAAACATAGCAGCTACTTAGAGAATGATAAATAAGTGCAGTGCTTATAGGGCCAATGCACTCTAAAGCTAATTACACTTGTCAAGTATTTGATTATTACGTTGTTAAATAATCTTATTTGTTTGCAGCATTGGTGGAATAAATATTTCTTGGTCCACAGATTTTATTTAGATAATATATTGGCCCTTTAAGGATCAGATATGAAGAATGAATTAAATACAATAATTTGCCAGATAATGACAGTTAAGAAGTCATTGTACATTTGTCTTCATCAGTTCATTGGCATCATAAATATCTTATCCACCTTTTTTTTTCTTTCTGTGAATCCATCAAATTAGTGATTAAGTATCTTGGAAAGGAATAAACTTATCCATCTTGACAGAAATTGTTGAAATGAATAGTTATCAGTATTTCAGATATCATGTTAAAAATGATTATGATAAATGCATTCCATCATTTATTGATGCTGGGAAAATAAGAATCTATTGATGTAGTAATTCAAATGAATGTCTTAAGTTTCAGCAAATAACATCTAAGAAAGGGATGTAATATCTCAAATGACATTAAATTTATGTCATGGTGATGTACATGTATATTGAAGGTTTAACATTTAATGTGCATTAAAAAAATCCATTTAATCAGCATTCACTCATACAGAGATTCGGTGAAGCAGATCAAATTCATTTCTTTGCCCTATAAACTTGGCACATATTGTTCCCACCATATGAGAAACATTCTGCAGGTAATGACATATTTGCCCCATCAATATCATAATGACTTCTCCGTGTTTCCCCATCAAGTTACCAATAAGCACCACCTGATGACAGTCATTCTGAGTGTACACAGAACATAGTTATGATATCAACTCTTGGTGTATTTTATGAGCCATGAACTACTGCTTCATTTTGCTATTGTTTCAATGTGCATTTTCTACTTTCAGAGCAGTTTGCTGCCTGCAATGATGGCGACGTATTCAGCGTCGCGGAGCTCGGTTGACTTGGCAATCGACCCCCTGATCACATGCAAGCTGTGTCTGATGGAGTGTCTCCTGCCAGAGATGTATGAGCTGCATGACTGCAAGTGTCTGTACTGTGAGTCGGTAAGTTGAACACACATCTACTGGCCTAATGATTCTATGATGATGACTGCCAGGGTTGATAAATACAATGGCTGTTTGAGTATAATATATTATTAAATTTAAATGTATTTTTTTAAGTCTTTGTTGTATGCTGATTTCTTGACTCATTTGGGACAATGGGTAGCATAATGGTTCAAGCGTTTGCTCATCACACCAAAGGCCTGAGTTTGATTCCCCACATTAGTAGAATGTGCAGGGCTCGATATAAGGAACTTCATTTAACTTGCACCAGGTGCATATTGACGTGAACACCTACTGGCACTCTAGTCCAAATCCCTTAAATTTATCAAAGTGGTAACATAGACCCGTCTTCTGCCAGTGTCACATAAATTGCTGTAGTGCTGTAAAACATCATTTGAACATGTGCACTTGATCTTGAAGTACCTCCAGTTCAATGTCATCAAGAGCCAGAAAGCATGACAAATTAAACATAACACAGAGATTAGTGATTTAGTATGGTAGATAAAGCTTTGGAGGTACTGAGTGTGTTCAAGGATGGATGTTGTGTGGACAAGTAAGGGTCCGTCAGACTCAGATTAGAATTGTTTTTACTTGCACTAAAAACATAAATATTAGATTGCATTTATCAATGATTGCTTGCATTGGTGCATGTTTCATAAAGCTACTTCGAGCTCTGATGAGTGGGGCCCATATGCAGCACCCCCCACCATGATATTTCTGGCATTTTGCAAAAATCTGTGTTCTACCAAACTCATTCACTCATGACTCACCTTTAGCTCACCTGAACATTCAGTCCAATTGTGCTTTTGACATGGTGTGTTGTCCGTCCATATGTTTGTCCGTCTCCTCTGAAACCACAAGGCTTTTGAAGCTGTTCTTTACAAAGATAATCTTAGCTATGGCAGTGTTCAAGACAAACTTAGGGGGAAACTTTCAGGGCCCTCTCTGAGAGATCATATAAAACTTAAAACCTAGTATGTATCACCTGAATACCTAGTTCTTACAGTATTATGTTGTAATAAATTCTACTAGGACATATGAAAGAAGTTGCAAATTCAAAAGAAAAAATGGGCAATGTGCAGATAACTCTCTAGTGAACCGATTGCTTTGTTCTGTAAAGAAAGGTTCAAAGCATATTATTATACTCTATGCTCTTCTGAAGGTAATTGTGTATCTAAGTCTAAGTGGCAAGCTGAGTTCTTATCTAGTCTTCATTGACATTGTATTTTCTCTAATCCCCTTAATCAAGGCAGGAAATAAAACTGAGGTGGTTTCAATGCAGGATAATCCACAGGATTTTTTCAACTAACATTTGTCTCTGCAAAATCGAAGTTAAGGACTCTGATTTATGATCATTTTGTAATGAAGAGTGAGTCCATCTCACACTTGTTTTGGGAATGTGAATTTGTACAAACTTTCTTGTTACAGTTTATGACATGGTTGTCAGGAGGATGTAATCACATTCATAACCTTAATCTTACATTAGAATTAATAAGTTTTGGTTGTAAAATGGATGTTATGACTGCTGTGTTTGATCTCTTCATCATCTCAGCAAAATATTTCTTGTATAAATGTAAGATAAAAAATGACCTACCATGTTTTGTACATTTTAAGATTCATTTAATAATGAGATACTATGTTGAAAATACTTTTCATTTTAGCAAAAATGGTTATAAATGAGTTTTATATCAAATGGGCAAATTGGAATAAGAACACACACTAATTACAACATGGTATTGGTTTTCTGATGTTTAGCTCTGTAGTTCCCCTGGCTACAGAGATACATATGTAACAGGGATACAGGAGTAAAAATATCAACAAACAACAAGAAAACCTTAAAACCTGATACAGATGTTGTTGATGCAGAATCACTGTCCACAAATATCGTTAGCGATCACAGAATGTTTCACATGGCTTCTCTCTCAGACGTAAAGTTATCAATTGCAGCTCCAACGTCTGATTTCTGATATTAAGTGTCAACAGTTTGTATGGTGTCATTCGAAGCAGAAACATAGTTACAATTACCAGAAGAAGGTCTAGGCACAGGAGTCCGTATCTAAAAATAGACGCCCTCATGCGCCCTTTGGGCTCACGTGTGGAGATGGTCATGAATATGCATGATGGCGTCTATTTTTAGATACGGACTCCTGTGGTCTAGGCTATTTGTCAAGGAAAATGGGTTTTTTCGTTTTGTTTTTTTAACTGATCTATCTCTGAAACTTTTCCATCTGTCTGCTCTCGTATATTCCTGTTTGGCCTTGATTTCTTAGTTATAGTGGGGGCACGTGTGGCCCAGTCGTCTAAGGCGCCGCGATTCACTGTGCAGAGTTGCGTCCCTTGGACACGCCAGAAACCTATGATTGTGGGTTCGAATCCCGGTTCGCCCCAATTATGTTTCTAGGTTTGTCAGCACCATACCCATGCTCGTGGGTTTCACCGAAGTGGTAAACGTCTGAGACCTGCATCACTTTGGGCTTTCCTCCCACATTAAGCTGACACGCCGTGATATAACTGGAATACTGTTAAAAGCGGCGTTAAACCCAACTCACTCACTCACTCATAGTTACAGTAAAGAACAAATGCGACTAGTCCATAATGACTACTATATTTGCAAAAATGTGAAAGTTTGACTGACTGGACCATTTTTGCCCATTACTCAGCCATTTCTATTATGTAATTTCATATGAAGTAAGTATACAGTTAATATGAGTAAAATATCATGGGGATAGAGGCTTTGGTGTTTGTTCTTTTTCTGTTGTAGTCTTTGACATTCACTGAAAAACCCATTTATCTTGTTTCACTGAACTTTTGACATTATCTCTGAAACCTCTTGAGGGGTGGTGGGGTAGCCTAGTGGTTAAAGTGTTGGCTTGTCATGTCCAAGACCTGGATTTAATTCCTCACATGGGTACAATGTGTCAAGCCCATTTCTGGTGTCCCCTGTCGTGCTGGAATATTGCTAAAAGTGGTGTAAAACATACTCACTCTCTCACTGAAACCTCTTGGTTTATGGAGCTGAAATTGTGTATATGTCTCTATATTTCCAACAGACTTCTACATATGAATCCTACTAATGTAGGGTGTTTATCATAAGAGAATGCAGATTTAGTCCACTGAATAATCAAGGATGCACTGGCTGTAGTATTTTGTCTTTTAACCCCAAATTGTCTTTCAGAGATTTGGTTCAGTTCAATTTCATTTTAACATATGGATGCTATAGTCTGAGATTACAAGATGGAAATAAGTTTTCCTAGACCTGGGCTTCAGACTAGTGGCTTAATGCATAGACTGATTCAGTATGACATAACAAACAGAAATCTGTTGTAATATTTGACAGCGAAGCCTTGTTGGCCTTGTAAACAGTTTATTGTCACAGGCTATATCTTTCTCTGATTAAGATGATTTATGCCACTAGAATCTAAAAGATTGTCCGACCATATCGAATGAACATACAGTTATGCTATGATCTTTTCCATCATGTGGTAGCTGGAGTAAATAGTGCCTGCCACTTAAAGTTAATGGTGAACTATGCTGGAGCTATGGCCACCTGAAACATATTGGTACATGGCAAAGTGTATCATTTTAATCAATCTAAGAGCTTTTAACAAACCTTTTCATGATGATTTTTCCACTGCAGAACATGATACTGCTTCTAAATTCCAATCATGGAACTATTTTTGGTTTGTTGTAAATGTAACTGATGTCGTCACTAGGACCTCTCGTGTGTTAATAGCTCTTCTGTTTCAGATTTGCTATAAGAAATGTTAAAGGTTTTGCAACTATTTGATCTCTTAGAAGTCATTTTGTTCTTGTGTTCAATTTCATCCGTTTTTTCCATGTTTACCAATTAATGGGTTATGCAGTAAATATTGATCTTCATGAGAGTGATGCTGTTTTAACTGTAGGTTAGAGTTACAGGGACATAACGTAGGTGGACAGATCTTATAGGAGCTTGGGTTGGGTCAGGGTGGTCTTTGGCTTGGTGGTGCTGGTGCCATCGCTTTGATTTGCTTCAGGCCATAATAAATTATTAGATTTTCATTCCCTCCCACCTCACTACCTAACATTAACAACCTACCTCACATCATTTTATTGTCCTATAGTACCTACAGACAAAAGAAAATTGCAATGCTCCCTTCTTTCTCTTCTTGATGCAATACACTATGTTTTTCGCCCTCCAAAACATTCATGCTTCATGTGATTGTATCCATCCATCGACATCTGTTGTCATTTGATGTAAACAGATCCCTTGTATGGTTTGTTTGTACAAAATAAGCTAATGAAAATAAGTTACCTCCTACTCAACATATTTTTAGCAATAACAATAAAAAAAAAATTTAGGTTATTATTATTACTTCCATATCTTTATCAGATTTACCTTTGGTGGCATACCAGGTACCCGAGCTTGACAATGTTGGTCCAGTGTATATGTGACCCTTGCATTTCTGGCTCAGCCTATTGTTTTACATGTTTATATGTTATTTTTACAATTACTGTTTTCAATACTAATAAACAGTGTTGATAAACTGTGATTGTTTTAACAAAAATGCATTTCGAATAACAATATTAAGTTTATTTACAAACAATGCATTTCCATTAACAATATTAAGTTTACAAACATTACATATTATAAACATTCATATAGCTTCAAATACAAGCTCAAGCTTAATTTAATCTATTTATGTAACATTTATTTACATTTATATTTAAAGATACCTAACATTTCACTTACTACTATGAAAACAAACATGAAACAATGGAGGTTACTCTAACCTTATGACCACAAATATAACTAAGTCGCATCACTGGCTCAAAAAGAATGCCATTTGACTATAATTTTCAGCTATATGTTCACAGTTAAATTACAGATACTAATCAATACAATAATGCTTCTAAACAAGGAAACATTAAACAAAATCTAGTGCTACAAGACACAGTGGGAATGCTTCACATAGTTCACATTGTTTCACATTGGACTGGCCCACTAAGTCCCGAGACACGTCCCCAATAGATCATCTGTGGGATGTTCTCTGACAGAAAGTATATGTCAGACACCCAGCACCTACCAATGTGGCCCAGCTTGGTGTAGGTCTTCAGGTGGAATGGCGGGTAATACCAAGGCTTCATTAGCAGTACGCCATGAAGGTGTCGTGCATGTATCACCCAAGATGGTGGACACACCAGATATTGATTGATCTACAGAAATTTATCGTCATAACACCTTCTCCATCTTTTTATCAGTTCCCATATTTTTTAATTGTTGATTTTACGCCATCAGATAGGAAGTTTAATATTAATATTGTACATCCCTTGTAATTTTGATAGACCCTGGGCTGCACAATCGCAATTCTTGCACAATGTTCAATTTTCAGATCTTATAGAAATGATCGTCTGAAAAATAAATTGGCAACAGGGGTTAACATGGTTAATGTACATTCTTGGGGTACCAGAGATTTACCTGGGTCTATCTATTTTTGAGTCAGAGGACTTTCAATAATATATTTTAGAGGCCCAACGCGTTGACAAGGGAGTTCAAGTCTGACAACTTGTGGCACACTCAGGGATTTATCTACACCTACTCAGACGCAGATATTCAGCCAAAATCAGAACTTTTAGAACAATTCCCAAATTTGAAGTTTTTATAATGATTTTTCCCATTTTGCCTGTCAAGGGTATTTGGTTTGGAATCCTCAATAAATCCTGGTGCTTCTCTTGGTTACAAGAATTTTACTGATGCCATGTCATTGCACATGCTCAGAAGCCTTAGGCTTATTATGAATAGTGATTGCAAGCATAGATTGAAGCGAAAAAAGACAATCCCACACACAGAACTTTGAGGGAATTACTTGCCAGAACAAAAATGTCAATAATATTTAACATGCAATCTACAATCTTGGTACATTTAAGGTTTCAAACAAATACACTCTTTTTGCATCCCTCAGACTTGCTAGGTACATTATTTACCCCTATTCTCAGTTTGTATGCCCTGGGATTCTGTCCTTAGATGGATTGTTCTGTATCAGTCTGGGACTTCAGCCAAATTTCTTCATCACAAAAACTAATCAAAGTCCATATATAACACTAAAATTTACTTGAAATGATGTCAAGATATTGAGTTAGTGCTGGTAGAATCACAATCTCATTAAAATCAGATCTTAGTTCTCGCTATCGCTGTATAAAGATCTGAGGACATCCCATTACGGGTCACGTCAGAACGACCTTTCGCGAACTTTGACCAACCACTGAAATGACAAACATTAGCCAATTAGAAATCAGCTTTCTCGAACTTTACAGTACTGGCAACTTCCATTTCAGAATATGCTTGAAATTTATGTTAGCACAGTTCTCGATTAAAATTGTGAAAACTGAACAAACGAACATTCCGGAATGTCTAATATATGGCTGAAATTGTATGACAGTACTTCCGGGAACTGTGCAACGCCTCCTCCATTCAAATGTTTGACCAACGGAAGGGAGAGATAATGATAATTTTGACGGAATCAGTCGGAATACCCCGTGTTAACGTTTTCGAGGTTGCATGATGAGAAAACACATTCCGACTGTCACTTTCATGATCTGGTAAGCAACGCTCTGATTGGTCAGATGAAAGGTCGTTCTGACGTGACCCGTAATGGGATGTCCTCAGATCTTTGTTTAGCGATAGCCAGAACTAAGATCTGATTTTAATGAGATTGGTAGAATCACAAATCTTTGGCGACCCATGAAGATCCAGGTAGAGAATAGGTTGTCAGCAACCCATGCTTGCCCTAAGACTTAGTAAGAGGCAACTATACTTGTCGTAAGAGACGACAAGTCACAACAGAATTGGGTGGTCAGGCTCGCTGACTTGGTTGTCAATCACTCGATTGTCCCTGTCCAGACTCGATTATGTACAGACCGCCATCACATAGCTGGAATATTGCTTAGTGCAGCATCATACAACAAATACAAATGTTTGGCATGGACTGTAGGCAGTCAACTGTGTTTTGGGGCAAGGAACCAAGCCCTAAGTGTCAACTATTAGGGATTATTACGTAATCAAATTCAGGTATTTCCAACCTTTTCATCACAAACACATAAGGTATTTGCATATATGCACAGCCTTGACATGCAAATGATGAATAAAAAGTAAAATTAACGCTTAATGATTGCACATGTATGCCATTTATTCAGGAATTATTGAGATATACAGATATATGTAGCATGGTTAAATTTACAGGTATGTATGTAACTTCGTTCTACATTGAAAACACATTATGATTGTCTCCATTCTATTCTGCAAACATTTAAAGTGAACTCTTTGCTGTTTGTGAGAGTTAAGCTGGATGGATTGAGTTTTAAGTGTTTGGAGTGGGTTGTGGATCTAAATAAATGAAACTCCAATTACCGTATTCGACATAATAAGCACCCAGGGCGCTCTCAAAATTAGAAATAGGGGGCCCTTTTTAGAATATTATTTTGGTGAAAAACAACATAGTTGATCGTAAATTTCATGGTTTATGCTGACAACCTGAAATGTTAATATATGACAGATATATTTTTCCAGAATTTAATTGCCCATAATTAAGGGTGCATATATGCATATAACAAACATATTATGCACAAATAAATAGTCTTGCATACATTTATCAATTGGAAGGGGTGCTAATTGGGATTGTTCACTAGCCGATATATCAGCAAATATCACCGTTGGCGCTTATTAGAGCAGGGCGCTTATTACGTCGAATACGGTATAACCATTTGTTCACACCATTATTCCTCACTCACATCATTATGTCTTACTCACACGTATGATTGGCACTGAAAGTGTGAGCACAAAAACTTTGTAAACCACCATGAAGTGGACATGCATGAAGAAAATTTTGTTCAACATAGTACATCATAGGGATGTCACGATGCAGATGTCATGATACACGTGTCACATGATATGATACATATCTTATTGATAACGATGCAAGATCAACTTCGACAATCCTGCAAAGTTTGCCTACGATGTACCGGTGAATCGTGACATCACTTGAACATCGGTATAATGACACCACACTGCTTACCTTGACACTAAAGATATGTCATAGTTGGATATCGAAAATTGCCAAATTTCAAGCTCTCTGTTTTACTTAAGACTTTTTCATTGTCGATTCCTATTGTGATTTCTTCAATCATCTATTGACACACATACTTTGAAATATTGTAGTACCATATTGTCTTAAGTTCAGTGCCCACACGAGTATAATGCACACACCCCTCTAGCGGATTCAGTATTTTGGAGAAGAAAAATAATTGGAATATAATGCGCAGAAAAAAATTACCCCTTCAACGAATTCCGGTAAACGAACGAACGAATGAACTGCAAATCTGCATTTGTTACATATAATTGTACATATAATTATTTCATAATGCCTACCTATAATGACTGAGAAAGAAGTACTTTTCTATAAATAGTGCAGCTATGACACCCCTACTTTTCTATAAATAATGCAGCTGTTAAATTTACTGTTTCAATCAGAGGTTATTTTGATTTGATATCTGATTGACCAGTAATTTCAAAAATTCATGGTAGAATAGATTTTGTATACAAAACGCTGATCAGTTTGCAGCTAGTGAGCAGCCACCTGTGACTGGATTGTTTTATATATACAACAATACTTGTGCAGTTACATGATCAAATTTGTCTAAAGACTCATTGGGTCAAGACCTGGCATGGACATGTCTTGCAAGAATATAGGTCACCTAAGCATCCTATACTTAGGCAGCTGTATGGATTGGGTACTCAGGCTTGGTAACTTGGTTGATTGCATGAGGAACAATGGTCATGATGTCAATCTCTGGATTGTCTGGTCCATGCTGGAATATTTACAGGCTGCGCGTTAGACAACAAACAAACATTGGACCAAGTGAATGTATCTGACATATCTATTTAAATATGTATTGGATTCAAATGATGATCTTTGATTCCAGTATGTCAGTGTTGTTGTGAATAGTTTGTCTCTTGGTATCAAAAGGGACTGCCCTTATTAGTGAAGTTGTCATGTTTATATTACTGGTATGTAAATGTATATGTGTATTGCATTGCAGTGTGTACGGCAGTACCTGACAGTGATGATCACTGAGGGCAATGTATCTGAGATCACCTGTCCCGATGCTCAGTGCAAGAAGCAAGGCAAGATTGAAGGTCCAGAGGTGAGCACAGGGAGCCTCAGTAATCCAGATACTCTCAATCCATGATAAGAGAATCATACGTGTGTTTTTGATAACATGACTGAATGACTGTAGGTAGTGAATCAGTACACCCTAGTAACACAGGTGTAGTAAATCAGTACACCCTAGTAACACAGGTGTAGTAAATCAGTACACCCTAGTAACACAGGTGTAGTAAATCAGTACACCCCTAATATCACAGGTGGTAGTGAATCAGTATGCCCTAATAACACAGGATTAGTGAATAAGTATGCCCTAATAACACAGGTGGTAGTGAATCAGTATGCCCTAATAACACAGGAGTAGTGAATAAGTATGCCCTTATAACACAGGTGTAGTGAATCAGTATGCCCTAATAACACAGGTGTAGTGAATCGGTACACCCTAATAACACAGGTGGTAGTGAATCTGTACACTCCTAAAAACACAGGTGTAGTTAATCAGTACACCCTAGTAACACAGGTGTAGTAAATCAGTACACCCCTAATAACACAGGAGTAGTGAATCAGAATGCCCTAATAACACAGGTGTAGTGAATCAGTATGCCCTTATAACACAGGTGTAGTGAATCAGAATGCCCTAATAACACAGGTGTAGTGAATCAGTATGCCCTAATAACACAGGTGTAGTGAATCAGTACACCCTAATAACACAGGTGTAGTGAATCTGTACACCCTAATAACACAGGTGGTAGTGAATCTGTATACCCTAATAACACAGGTGGTAGTGAATCAGTACACCCTAATAACACAGGTGTAGTGAATCAGTACACCCTAATAACACAGGTGTAGTGAATCTGTACACCCTAATAACACAGGTGGTAGTGAATCAGAATGCCCTAATAACACAGGTGGTAGTGAATCAGTATGCCCTAATAACACAGGTGTAGTGAATCAGTACACCCTAATAACACAGGTGTAGTGAATCTGTACACCCTAATAACACAGGTGGTAGTGAATCTGTATACCCTAATAACACAGGTGGTAGTGAATCTGTATACCCTAATAACACAGGTGTAGTGAATCAGTACACCCTAATAACACAGGTGTAGTGAATCTGTACACCCTAATAACACTGGTGGTAGTGAATCAGTACACCCTAATAACACAGGAGTAGTGAATCAGTACACCCTAATAACACAGGTGGTAGTGAATCTGTACACCCTAATAACACAGGTGGTAGTGAATCAGTTCACCCTAATAACACAGGTGGTAGTGAATCAGTACACCCTAATAACACAGGTGGTAGTGAATCTGTACACCCTAATAACACAGGTGGTAGTGAATCTGTACACCCTAATAACACAGGTGGTAGTGAATCAGTATGCCCTAATAACACAGGTGTAGTGAATCAGTACACCCTAATAACACAGGTGTAGTGAATCTGTACACCCTAATAACACAGGTGGTAGTGAATCTGTATACCCTAATAACACAGGTGGTAGTGAATCTGTATACCCTAATAACACAGGTGTAGTGAATCAGTACACCCTAATAACACAGGTGTAGTGAATCTGTACACCCTAATAACACAGGTGGTAGTGAATCAGTACACCCTAATAACACAGGAGTAGTGAATCAGTACACCCTAATAACACTGGTGGTAGTGAATCTGTACACCCTAATAACACAGGTGGTAGTGAATCAGTTCACCCTAATAACACAGGTGGTAGTGAATCAGTACACCCTAATAACACAGGTGGTAGTGAATCTGTACACCCTAATAACACAGGTGGTAGTGAATCTGTACACCCTAATAACACAGGTGGTAGTGAATCAGTTCACCCTAATAACACAGGTGGTAGTGAATCTGTACACCCTAATAACACAGGTGGTAGTGAATCTGTACACCCTAATAACACAGGTGGTAGTGAATCTGTACACCCTAATAACACAGGTGGTAGTGAATCAGTTCACCCTAATAACACAGGTGGTAGTGAATCTGTACACCCTAATAACACAGGTGGTAGTGAATCTGTACACCCTTAATAACACAGGTAGTGATGAATCAGTACACTCCTAAAAACACAGGTGTAGTAAATCATTATATTTCTAATAACACAGGTGGTAGTTGACGTTTTGCCCCATTCCTTGGTCCATCACATTTTTTATTTCCGGAGCATAACTCCTAAACCGTTCCATATTTCTTCAGGAAACTTTGTTTACACATGAACCATGTGCTGAGCTGATGCTTTAGCTATTCAGGATTGTTTTCATTTTCTATTTCAATTCAATAGGGAGCTACCTCCATCAGAAAACTCGATAGTATTTCACACACCTGAAAACCTGGTGAGGAAGTTATTTTTGAGTTTTTGTTTCAGATAAAAAAAATGGTAGACCACACCACATTTGAGAGGTACCAAAGATTACGGTATTTGAGGGGTAAGTAGATTTTCCTGGACATTTTTGCGTTATGTCTTGAGACCAACATGTCAAAACATGTCAAAAATCTCTTCTTAGTGAGTTAAGTTTCGGGTTGAAAGGGTGAGTTGTTTGGCATTGGATGAGATAGTAGAGGCAAATGATAGGTGAGTCCACAGACTTTACACATTGTACCCATGTGGGCAATGGAACCCAGGTCTTCAAGGTGACAAGTGAATGCTTTAACTACTAGGCAACCCACCAAAATGTTGTCTGATTATTTTGATATGTTGTATTACAGAGGTTGACATGGACCCCAACCGTACCTTCTGTCCCGAGGCTGGCTGTGAAACAGTCTGCCATGTTTGCTCAAGTCCCACACCTCCACCGGAGGAGAACGTCCATCCTTCGCCTGTCCAGTGTCCAACAGTACGTTTATCACATTTACTACATTTTGGCCATGACAAGATTTTGAAATGTTTCTCACATTTAAAACATGCTGTCTTTGTTCAGGGTGATCAAAATATTGTAGTTTTCATATTCGTTATTTTATGGAGTTATCTTTCCTTGCCTCAGTTGCTATTGTTACTTGCTGGGTTTGAAGTAGTTTTTTGCTTTCTGTGAAGAGAATAGGCCTGGTCATTTTGAAAATAGATTATTGATGAGACAAATTGTTTTCATGGCCTTATTATATTTGGATTGGTTAAGAAATGTATGATCTGAAACATGGAATAACGTTCATCAATAAACAACAAACAAAAGCCTATCAAAAGCTCAACTCACATATACTAAATTTAATATAACAGTTTGCTCAAATTATCCTTTCACTTTGTATAATTTGTTATATTATCGGGCCATGATTTCTTTGAAGAATGTTCCATGATTTAAAGGAAGACTATTTTCTTAATGGCTGTTCAAATGTCTATGATTTTGACCTCATCATGGTAGTTGAAAGATAGTTGAAATGGCAGCTCTTCTCTTTTTGCAGTGTGGTCTGAAGTTTTGTTCAATATGTAAATCCAAATGGCATGCTGCCAAAACTTGTGATGAGGTGATGGCGTCTGGCAGACAGGAAGATATTGGGTGAGTTGTCTCATTATTTGCAGCGATGTTGCGAGAGACAAATGGCATTAGGACATTTTCATGGTAGATTTTTCAACTTTGTTTAGACGTTCTTCTATATCATTACCAAATTTAAACAAAATCTATATGCACAGGCTATGAGTTTCTAAGTGTGTCAGACTCACAGGGGAACATAGCCATGGTCACCATATATTCAGGGCTGTCTTTTCTTACATCAAGCCAGCATGACATTTGTGTCTTGTTTACTTTTAACGATTTGTAACCTAACAAATTACTCCCTACCCTTTCCATTTTGAAAAAGTCGAGAGAAACAAGAATGTTTAAAGCCATCTTAACACTTCAGACCTATAATCATGGAAGTCGTAGCAACTTGGTTGACCAGGTCCCATATTTTAATGGTGTCAAGAGTTAAACTTGAGGGCTCAAGTTTTGTGTGAACCATGTACTGATTATTGTCATGACACAGTGCTAGGTTTCCTCAGGGATAACTTTGCAGATTAAACCAAAGTGTTAATTAAATTCTGTATGTGTGATCTTTAAATGTAACTTGTCTATCATAAGCCACTGGATATTGTGTTTTGATACCTCTGATTGACCAATCAAAATTGAGTATTTTCCAAATCCAAGGCAGAATATCAGATTTATATGAACCCTAAAATAAATGTGACAAACACATGGAAAATGATGAACACGTGAACATGCTTAATGCACAGTGTGATTCACCAAATAGATTTGGGTTTTCAGAAATGAACCAATATCAATGATGGGGACATACTTTTTATTGACAATTGCTTATTATTACTTGCCCGTGAAGAGGTCACTCGTTTTATAAACATACAGCAGTATTACACATTGTGTAATACCAAAGCGTATGCTTATGTACTGTGGGAACAAGTTTCATGAACAAATATTGAAAGCTCTCAACATCTCTTGTCTTATTCAACAACATTGCATGTGGAGATGATAGACCACTGAGAGGAGCTATTCACACATGACAGTGAAATTCCAGCAAGTTATAAATGGTATGTAATGAATAAAATGCTAAACTCGTTCCCTTCTAATACCAATGTTATGAAACTCATGATTAGTTCTGGTATCTGGTATTCTATATTTATCTCTTAGGTGAAATGACAATTCACCAAGTTTGATGATGGATCAAAAATATTTTGTCCAGTTGGTGCTTTAATTCCAAAGGGCAAACCTAAGCATTTTTATGAGTGCTCTGTGGCACACCTCAGCCCAAAATACACTCTGTCCAGGAACTTGTATTACTCATACTGTTAATCACTGATGTGGCTGGCCGGGACTAATGACAGGCTGCTGTGCTATAGCTGACTGCAATGATATTCATTCATCACATGATATGTCTGCGAATATTGCCCTTGTTTTGCAGCATTCCATTCAGCAGTGCAGAAGATGCGAAGATCAAGCGTTGCCCCGTCTGCCATGTGCCTATAGAGAGAAATGATGGCTGTGCACAGATGATGTGTAAGAGATGCAAACATGTGTTCTGCTGGTACTGCCTTGCATCTCTAGATGTAAGTCACACACAATTATACCCTTTTTATTTGTTTGCTTAATGCTACATTCAGCAGTATTCCAGCTATATGACAGGAACCTGTAAATAATCAAATCTAGATGAGACAACTCAGTGCTGGATATGAGATGAGAAATGCCCATCGCAGTCTGGGTACGATGATGTGTTAACAAGAGTACCATACCTGGACAACCAATCCATTTAGGCACTACTTAAAACAAGCATATGTTGCTAGGGACCAGTTTTGAAAGTTCATTGTAGGATAAAAAGAACTCAATTACTTCAGATTTGTCACATTCCTCTTCCATCCCCACAAACTGTGTATTAATGCTGACATATTCCTCAAAGAGTTTTTTTGTAAAGCAATTCCTAGGACCTATTTATTACAGATATGCATTGTAGAGTATTTGAGTATGTCAGGTTGACTGCTATTTATCTCAACTCATTTATATACTTGATACCTCTTATGCCATTCATTTTGACATGAAGAAATGATATTTAGTAGAGCCGTTATTTATTTACTTGACCTTTTAATCCCCTGAAAAGTTGAATATGTCAGATGGAAAACTTGTGGAACTGTTAAACCTCTCAACCCCAAATTTAAGGAATTAAGATTTTTTTTGGTTTTATCTGGGAGGGCAGTCATAACAACACAGAGTTACAGCAGCCATAGTGCTAAGATCGCTTTGTGGAACAAAGCCCTGTATTGAGAATAATCAACTTTTTTTCTAACATAGTGGTGTAAGGGAGATAACTCTCCTTCCGGAAGTACTTGTGTAATGATAGCATGTGAGTCATATCTGTTGAGAGTTGTAAAATATGTGTTTGGTTGTCTTGTGTGTTGTCATAGGTTTTTAGGAAGGATTGTGTGTGTAGAGAAGATTGTTTGTCAGTTAAATGATGAATGCTAACGAATACATTTACTTGAAGAAGCGAGATCTGTTGTCGACCAATAGGTACGCTTACTATGCTGCATTCAAACTGCAAGTCTTCGCTCTAGCTGATATATTTTCTCACGGGTTCATAATTCTATATACACCGATTCACAAAATGGCACTTCGTTGTTGATGGCAACGTATAACGATCATTGTGAGATTAAAAAAAGACAAGAGAAACAGCTTCCCACATTATGAAAGTGGATGACTGGTTTGTTAAATCTTATATTAGAAATAATAATGACTTTTTCAATACATGTATAATTACAACGTTTTTCATCTTATATTATTGAATATTTGCGAGTACCGGCACATGTCTTGCAGTCCGACTTCGCAGTGTTTTTTACCTTTCACTTCCTGTTTCGGCTTATCTGGGGGTCATATCATTTTCTTTCGTATTTCAATGGTCAAGTTAATACCTCGGCTTATCTACGGGGTCGGCTTATCTGCGGTCATATAAGGTATTTAAAAAATATAGATGATTTTGTCCATCTGCCAAAATGCGAACATAAATGTGTTGCAACACAACAGGTGCACTTAGTGCAATGAGATAACGACTGTGCCCCAATGTGGAAACCTGGATTAGAATAGAGCCAATGCTGTCTATGCAACCAGATTGGATCAGGTGGTCAGGCTTGGTGACTTGGTTGATTGCATGTGTAAAAATGTATTATTTGACACCTCCAGCTAGCACCGTTTCCAGACATCACATACTCCATAAGAACCAGTCAATGTTTATCTCCTGAATATAATGGTCCTAAGATCTGGTTGTTGAATTTCTTACAGGATGACTTTCTGTTGCGGCATTACGACAAGGGGCCATGTAAAAACAAACTGGGACATTCCAGAGCCTCTGTGATATGGCATAGAACACAGGTGCTGTATCCTTTTTTCACAAATATATCGGTTTTGTGAGCTATACATGGACGTTATATAATGTTTAAAGACCTGTCTGAAATCAAATGAAGAGAAAAGTTTTAAAAGCCTGCAATGAAAATTGACTGAAAGCTAACATTTTATTCTTTTGAAAACTTCCAAGTTTTGAACTTACAACACCAAATGGTGTGAATAGGATAATAACAAATGAAGTGACTAGGATATGTTAAAAAAGCTGTTTCTATTTGGAAAGAAAGTTCTTGATGAAAGCTTCTACTTTTAGCAAATAGTTTATATTATATTTTGTTGTCAAAGACTTGCTTATATTTAGTTCTTTTCCTCAACTTTGAGAACAGGATGAAACTTAATGTTATAATGCTACGTTGTATTTCCTGATAATATGTACGAAGGTCTCAAGCTACTGTTTTAGTTATCAACTCAAAATTTGATCTCTTGGTTTTCTTTTCGTTCTCTTTGATGATGGAATGTGTCCCAGACATGGAAAGTGTCAAGTTTTCATGTATCGTATCGGTATCTTGCTATCAATATGTCTCTTATCACAATTAAGTAAAACCTATTCATGCTCTGTCTTCTCTTTCAGGTGGTGGGCATTTTCGCAGGTTTCGGCGTGCTGCTCCTGGTGGCATCTCCCTTCCTCCTACTTGCTGCACCATGCATCTTGTGCTGCAAGTGCAAGATGTGCAAGTGCTGCGAAGATGAGGAAGGGGATGGCCTCGCCACTTGACGGGGGATGCCATCGCTGGGGAGAAGTCATTTTGGAGAATTGTCAAGCCAAATTATTATAGGAGCAGAATATATATGTATGAAAAAATGACATTGAAATATCCTCTTTTTGTACTTGTATGGGAGTTCAAAGTGAAATTTGAATTATTTCAAGATGGGTGAGACTGGGAAATGGAAATGAGACGTGGCAATATTGAGATGTCACCAAGCAGGGAGAAGTCAGTGTGCTGGTTTGCAGTGTCACATTCCCAAATGGGTGATCTCAATGGCAACTCATGGTACAACAGTAATCTGAGAGTATAAATACTATTGTTTAACAAAGACTGATTGTAATTAGGCTTCTGGCCAGTTCAAAGGCCAATTCTCACTCACATTGATGTTCCTGGAAATGGCCTTAAACAAATCCCCTTCTACATGATCAACCCTCTTGTTGGAGTTGAATATCCTTGAATCTTTAACCATGGTAACAAGGTAAACAGGAGAGCCAAAACTGTGCCATGTTTTCTAATGCAGATGGTGGGATGTCTGATATATGGCCTTTGAAAATGCTTGCCTTCAATCTTGTGACTGAAATTCTGTATGGACCTGTATTATGGCCAAAGGAAATATTTTCCTGTATTATGGCCAAAGGAAATTATTTTCCCTGTGATCACAGTTTGACTGTATCTTCATGGTTCCACCAATATGCTGGTCTACTAGACAAATGCCTGTAAATGGTAATTAGGACCAGTAATATTTTATTCAAAGACTGGCTTTTGAAAAATATGTAATGCCAAGACTCCTTTTTTACTTTTAACTCAATATAGGAGCTTAATTTGGCAGAATATTTTCTTTATAAATGTATGCATGTTTTGTAGTTTTGGAGCCAAATTTGTGGTACCACTGTTTCTGGTTTATCACTGGCTACCTGACAAAACTATATATGAGGTCTTAGGCAGCCTTAGAAATTGGCACTAGTCCTGTAGTCCTTGCCAAACTGCCCAATAGTTAAGGTATCATAAGGACTAGTAGAAATTGGCCCTTTTTAAGGGTTTTGCTATATGTTATCATTATAAGGACTAGTGGACAAAAACTGTTAGTTTCTACTGCTGTTAGGAGTGTTTTTTCTCTCAGATTACTGATGCAGCTGTTGGAGTTCAGCTTGTATAAAATGTACAAATATATAATAATATTTAGTGTGAAACTGTAAGAACCCTAGCTGGAACTGTGATGTCATGTTCATTAACAACGTTGTCTGTCTGGTCAGGACCTTGTAGAAAGTGAGTGTTACTGATAGTTTGGTATTTATGCTACATATACTGCTCAACTTTTGTTTGTTAGGGAAATCAGCTAACCCAGTGTAGGATTTGAGGGTCGATTTAGGTGTATGACATGATTTTGTGTCATAACTGCCAATTATTGCCCTTGATCTTGTTCTGCAGGGGTTGTCGTATGTGTATGTTTGGTAGAGTTACAGTTGTCTTTGCGCTAAGATTGTTGGACTGAACAAGCCATGAACTCATTTCCGCTAAGCTGTCTATGCATTAAGCTAATTATAACGCCTATACTTTGACATAGCTTTACGATACTCATAGCATACATCTACTCTATGGAAAAAAGGCCTTAAGCTCCATTCCATGAAGCAATTCTATTATTATAACTATCATGATGTGTTTGGTAGTTACAGAACCACCCTCTCATGACAAAGATGGTTTTATGGAACAAGGCCATAGGCTTTGTTCAGTGAAGTGTCTGTGTCTATAAATATGTGCTGTTTCGGTGTTCCAACAGTCATAGCACTAAGGTTACTTTGTGGAAAGGGGCCTTTTGTCTTTTGGTGGTCCTTCTACCATACTTTCAACACTGACTTAGCGCTAAGATTGCTGTACATGGACATTACGGAGAATGCAAGGGGATTTACTTTAGTGGTACCCCACTTATCCGGACCCTTATCCAAGCCTCGCCTACTGGACAATATTGATCTGAAACGAAATAAATATTACTTACAATTCTGCTTTAGAAAGTGGTCAGATGTAACAAGTATTATATTTGGGATAACACTTTCTTAGTAAAGTACAGATTCTCATATTTTGGGGGGTTGTGACCCATCCGGGATTCGAACCTACACTGCCAGAGTGAGGCACCTAATCGCCAGCACACGAAGTCAGTGATCTAACCCACTCAGGCTTCCCAAAAAGTGAAAGTCCGACAACTGGTAGTTAAGATCACATACTTAATGATCACTATGTTAATTAGTTACATGTCTGATTGTGAGTTGGGCAGTCATTGTCATTTGGCACTGAGTGAGCTTTGAGATTATCCCATAAATTAAGGTGCAAAAAACAGGTGACTGCGTGTATGCACACTGTACATTGTATCGGTCAACATTGCAAGTCAACATGCTAAGCAGAAACGAAATGTAGTGACAGCTGGGGAAAAGAAAGAAAGCTGTCAGTGTAAAAATACTACTCCTAAACTAGCCTCGACTTTTTGAGTAAAACGCTTTGGCAGTAAAGATATTATATGTTTGAATAAAGATATTATGCCTTACCCTTATATATAATAATAGAGTTGTTTATGTCTCAGGAGAATTTAGGTAGGGGAGGTAAGTCTGGTCAGTTATTACAAGGGACTCTGATATCAAGAAACTTGTTTTTCCTGACAATATTTTAGAAAAAAGTGTCCGGTTAAGCGAGGTTCAACTGTTTTGTTTTATTTGTGGTTGCCAGTTGATTTCCCTACAAGTTGCATAGTATGTATGATGAATGATTGTTTGAAATGTTTTCTAAATATGTGACAATGTTAGAAATGTTTTTAAACACTGGTTGTTTGGAATCTGTCATGCCTTGTGCTTTTATGAATACAACGGACATGCTTGGATATGTTGTGGACTAGGAAGGATTGAGTTGAGAAGTTTGTGTTCATATATAATCAGTCGTCTCTTATCAACTGTGGTGTTACTTGTAAGTTTCTCATTCTGCCTCCTGGGGCGGTCGGGTAGCCTAGTGGTTAAAGCGTTCGCTCGTCACGCCAAAGACCCGGGTTCGATTCCCGACATGGGTACAATGTGTGAAGCCCATTTCTGGTGTCCCCCGCCGTGATATTGCTGGAATATTGCTGAAAGCGGTGTAAAACCATACTCACTCACTCACTCATTCTGCCTCCTAATCTACAGGGTTGCATTTACCAGTAAACTCAATAAACATACTAACCAATGGTGGGGTCCCATTGTCTTGTAGCGATGTTGGAAACTTTGAAAGCAGCTAATGTTGACATTTTCACAGTTATATTTTATCGTAAATCCTTCAATATATTCTGGGGCCGATGAACCTCTGACTTGAATAAACGATAGGTCATATTTTAGTGTACAAAATTCAGTTGTGTAATGCTCCTTTTTCAATACGTCCGGTGTAGTTTCAAATTTTCTGAATTGTTTGAGTCAACGGTCATATGGCATGGGTGTTGGAATACAGAATGCGAGAAACAAACAAAATGCTTTATTGTAAAAAAACCTGAATAAAATTAACGCCTGTTTGAAATAATTGCCGGGTCTCTGGACATTGCCAAATAACTAAAACGCTGGATGTGTATTCAAGGATTTACGGTATTAATAAAAAAGGTTTAAATTATCTTTGAAAATAATGGCAAGAATCAGTTTCAGAAACAAAATGTGAAAGTCAATGGGTCCTTGTCAAAACTGTTTCGTTCAATTTTGAAAATTACAGGGGTTACTAGATAATATTATTGATGGAAGCAGATTTCCAAGGACCCCTCCCCCATAATTTTTTGCCTGGAAATATTTGGAAAATTGGTGGGTAGTGTCCCTTCCTTTTTTTAAATTTTTGCTGCAATATTTAACAGTTGCTTCACTTGCTTGAGGACACAAATTCAATGTCTCTAAATTTCTCGATAACTGATTTTATTCAATTCTGCAACTTTAATGTGATAATCTTTTATGATATAATGAACTGACAGGAAGAACATCAAGCTTCAGGTTATGGGACTCTGCTGTAATATTGGGTAAAGAGATATATGCCTGGGCATATATTTCCTAACCCAATTTCACTGACACTGATAACAATCTGTATGCGAACGCAGATGATCATCAAACTTTGTCAACCCGCACTTTTCATCCTCAGAATATTTAACATATCGTACTTTGTGATACAAAATGAATTATTTTGTCGCTGTGTTGAACACAGATTTATTACAATGTAGTGTTCAGTTTTGTTGTTGAATGTTTGCTTCATGTATTTATTTTGTTTTTTGTTGTGATATACTTGTGGTTTTAGCATTTAGTGCTGTATTGGTCTTAGAAATGAGATTTGGATTCAATTTCATAGCTATTTATGCACTTCCCCATTGTTTTCTTCTGTTAGCTCACCTGGTTCAAAGGCAGTATGAGCTGATGTTGGGTTACTTTTACATCTGTCATCTGCAAACTTTTCACGTTTTCTATTTTTCATCAGAACTGCTAGATTGATTTACATGACTTATTTTTCAAGGCATCAATTTTGAGTACTGTATCCACCCTGCTCCAATATGCACCTTCGACTAACTTCTTGACCAATCTGGATTAATAAGTGCATTTTATTCAAGTGCCCTGTACAAAGACTACATGAACATGAATGCCCAAAATGATTTAGTAAAGGTGCTATTATGCACACAGACACAGGTTTATTCCCAAAGCAAACACATCACCACCTGAAATGACACGCAGTGGTGAGACTCAAGCAGTGACTCCTCGAACTGTTCTTGCCATAAAAGGCAGCTATGCTTGTTGTAAGAGGCGACTAATGGGAGCGGGAGATCAGGCTTGCTGACTTGGTTTATGTATGTTATTGTATTCCAAATGCGTAGATCAGTGCTCATGATGTCAATCACTGGATTGTCTGGTCCAGACTTGATTATTTAAAGACCGCCGTCATATAGCTGGACTATTGCTGAGTGCTTATTATGGCAAATACAGTAGTTTTTTAAAAATTCTGGTTGTTGTTTTTTGTTTTTTTAAATATTGAAAATCTTCTGAGAATCCACAAGACCTTGAAAGGTAAATCCTTGTAGGGATGATACTAACCTCAAGTGGTTTCACGTCTCAACAAGGCATCATCATTCACTATCCATGTTGTAGAACATCGTTTGGTCTTTGGAGTTTTAAATGTGAGCCATGTGAGCTACAGAGCCTTTTCTTACATTTTACCGTCCTACTTCATTGAACACTAACAAAGTTTCATAAGGTTTGTGAGAATATGGTTGAAGTCAAGAGAAACAAAGGTTGTTCTAACAGGCAACTTGAATTTAACTCAATCTGTTTACAAGAACAGTAATAGCCACTGTTGTTGATTTGAACTAGTTTGTAAACATTGTTTTCAGTTTTGTTAAGACTCGACTGCTTGTAGCCTTTGTCAGGACAGGACAAATCACTTTGATAGAAGCCTGTATACAACGAAAATGTTGTCTGTCAATTTATTGAAAAATTATTTTGTTTTGTTCTAAATTTACATTCTCATGACACACTTCATTTGAAGATTTTTACAGATTTGGGTTTGAAATCGAACTTAACAGAGATCTATTTATTCCACGCGTGTTTCATGAAACTGTTGTATTGAGGTGTCATAAGTGTTATTTGGAACTTCTTTATTGATTACTGTTACAAAGAGAACTCAATTTTGAGTCAAGTCAGTATTGAAGAACAACTTTTTCTCATGGGTAAGGTGCTAAATAAGCTGAAAAATCAAATATTTGATTCTTAGGTAAATCTAAATACATATTGTTTTTGTTCCAAAGCACCAGTGAATGCTGTGTTGTGGGATTTTGATGGTCCCTTAGAGCCTCTGTAATATCTAATACTTGGACAAACACTTATTTTATGTATGCCTTGTGTTCAGTGGTGTATAAGATATGTTTCTTGTTAGTGATTATGTTTTCAGGCTATAGACTTTGTGTTCAGTGGTATTTAAACATTTTTCAGTGTTCCTGTTTTATTCTAATGCTTGTTGTGGATGTATTATATCTACATTTTAGCTCAACTGAGTGACAAAATAATCCCTGAAGCACTACCACATGCCAAAAAGTTCTGATGTTTGGAAGGTATATTTGTCAGGGAGTATTGTTTGGTTTGCCTTTCTGGAGACGTTTAATGCATTTGTTAACCATTTATTAATATCATTTGTTGTTAATTACTTCTAATGTATCTGTGCACTTACAAAAAATAACTTGTATCTGGAAAAAAATACATATTGAAGAAAAAATATGGAATTTTTGCAGAAATTATCATTACTCATTTTAGAAACATAAGTACTTGTACATGTTTATGGAGGAATTTTATGATAGATGGGTATTATATTACCATTAACTGATAAAGGTCCAATATTGTATATATTCATGTTTTGGTGAGATATTAATGTTCAAACAAGACTAGCTCATTTTTATAATACTAATGACAGCAATGCATAGCTAGGCATAGTATGTATCTATAATCTTTTGCTTTTTTAAATTGTTCTATAATTCATTCACAAGAAGTTGTGTGGGAATTTTCTGATTTTGTTGACATGTGAAAAAACTAATTCAGCATTCATTCCATCTGCCAGTCATTCTTTCCACTTCCGTTTTTCAACTTTCATCTCACAGCATTTAAAACTATGCTCAAAGGCTGAAGTAACAGTCATCATGTATAATTATGCTGTACATCTCTTTTGTAAAACTGAATTTGAAACATTGAAACCTGGAGGCTAAGAGGTGCACTCATCAGCCTATTCCTTACATGCAATTGTGGGATATCTGGAATATTGTCAAAGGTGCATAAAATATTCTTCAGTCCAATAAAATGCGAGTACACATTTAATTATAAAAAAAAAGGGTCATGGTCTTTACAAAATAACAATATAATATATGAGAAGATGGCCATATTTATTTTTGCCTTTAAGTATTTTTTTTTTCGATTTCAGAGGTAATACACACTACACTATTCAATCATAAATGCATCTACTGTTATTCATGCAGAGAGAAAATGAGGAAATAGGGACCCCTCAAAATGTTTTTATTATCCAAACAACATAATACTGAAAGGATGTATTGTAAAATTATGTAAGTATGACAGAATCTCAAAGATATCGTTTATGACTGTTTCAAACAATGAAGAAGGCAGATTAATTATAAACATGTCCTACAAGCTTGTAGTGAGTACATTCTTCGACTTATCCCTTCTAAGTTCAAAAGTTTGATGTATACATGTATAAACAAATAATTCCTCTCCTATTTTTCTTCAGATTAAACTTAATGTTATGAGCGAGTTATCCTGTGCCATAGGTCTTGTTCTAAATGAAGAATAGATGTTGAAAGTGTGTGTCATTTGTAGCTTGTGTTGACTGTACTGTGTGTTCACATTGCAAGCTGTTGTTCAATACTGTACTTGTCACTGTAAACAGTGCAGCTATTTTCACTGTCTTTGAATCAGTGTTTTCAGACTCTATTCAGTTACCTTGCATGTTATGAGAAACTCTGGAAACCTCACCTTTAAAAACTTTATATTGAAATCTTGTGTTGTATTGCTCAACTAAAAGTCACCCACTTTGAAAATGACACATCTATGAAATCTCTGATGTTCCCAAGATGTTTCATTGTACTACAATTCCATGTCAAGCATCTTCATGATTCTGACTTTCATGACATTATGCTATAAAAAAAGTTTCCCATTAGCTCATTTTACACTTATGAGGATGTTTCTAAACTCAGAAGACTGAAAACTAGATAAAATAATGAGAAACACTTTTTACCTACCTGGTATTCATGGACTAAGAAATATGTTATAGATATGAAACATTATTAGCATTTGGCAGAAGGGGTAAAAGTACATTGACACTACATAATGGTCAGCTGTGATATTTTTTCTATCGAGTGTTTCTTTCATTCTAGTCTTGTGTTTCTACTAATTGTTTTTATCTCATTTTAGCTGGAACAAAAATCAGCATTCCACAAGTTCAATGTATCCACGTTTTTTAAAATCAGTTTTTTGCAAACACAAATATATTTAAAGAGTCCAAACTTATATTGGTATGCAATTAATCATTAACTAGAGGGAGAGTATTAAATCCTGGATACTCATATCAGCTAGTCCTGTATACTAATGATTTCAGTTTTTGTTGGCGTGTTGACTCATGTAATGTCATTGCAGTTGAACATTGTATACATATACCATGTGACTTGTACCAAATAAATGATTGATTTTTCAGTAAATGTCTTGTTTTTATATGTAATTAGGAGGTAAATGAGTTTCCTGATTTACAGGTTTTGAGTATTTGATGCTACACTGTCAGACAGCATGATATAATGAATGATAAATGTTTATCAAAATATCATGGTGTAACATTTATACAAATGATCATATAACTACAGAACAGCAGGTAATATATATTAGGATCCAGGAAAATACACATACAAAATATTAGTAGTTTCAGTTATGGCATTTAGATAGATGCTAGTCTAAGGTAACAAGAACCCATGTACCAGACATACTATTCAGTAAGACAAAAGTTATGTCTACATAGTTTTATAGATTGCCTTGAACCATTTTATTTAAATAAATCGGTCATCACCTATATTAGAATAGCATTGAGCAAATACTCAAGACTCGTTAAGGTTTGGCCCCTTTGGTCTATTGTGATATAATCTCTTCCCAAGCACCCAGTAAACATCAACTAGATTAGTGCCAGTCCAACAGACATTGACCGTAGGGCACACAATAATATTCCATTTATTGTTCTAAACTTTAGTTAACAAGTATTTGTCACAAAGTGACGAAATGTCCCCCGCCTGTATATACACCATAGTACCAAATATGAAGACAATCCAGCGATTAGTTCTTGAGATATTGCGGCAACACTGTTTTCCAACTCCAAAAACAGATTTGCCTGCCGTGAACTTGAAAATGGGGTCAAGTTCACCAATACCGACTGGTGTATGCGGTGTCTGTATATACACCATAGTTCCAAATATGAAGACAATCCAGCCATTAGTTCTTGAGTTATCGCGGCAACACCGTTTTCTAACTCCAAAAGCAGATTTGCCTGCTGTGACCTTGAAAATGGGGTCAAGGTCACCAAAACCGACTGGTGTCTGCGGAGTCTGTATATACACCATAGTTCCAAATATGAAGACAATCCAGTGTTTAGTTCTTGAGATATCGCGGCAACACTGTTTTCCAACTCCAAAAGCAGATTTGCCTGCTGTGACCTTGAAAATGGGGTCAAGGTCACCAAAACCGACTGGTGTCTGCGGAGTCTGTATATACACCATAGTTCCAAATATGAAGACAATCCAGTGTTTAGTTATTGAGATATCGCGGCAACACCGTTTTCCAACTCCAAAAGCAGATTTGCCTGCTGTGACCTTGAAAATGGGATCAAGGTCACCAAAACCGACTGGTGTCTGCGGAGTCTGTATATACACCATAGTTCCAAATATGAAGACAATCCAGTGTTTAGTTCTTGAGATATCGCGGCAACAAACAGGTGGGACGTACGGACGGTCGTGAATACTATATCCCCCGCTTCGCGCGGCGGGTGACAATTACATAGGGAAGCAAGATGTTAGGCCTTACATTTTATAGATATTGTTCATTGTCCTTTTAAATAAAATTGTAATTAGTCGAAAATCAGCGCACCATTTTATAGGGTTTGAACATCAGACAACCATAATATAAACTAAGCAGACATAACTTTTGTCTTATTGTATAGTATGTCTAGGAGATGTGTTCTCGTTACCTTAGGCTAGCATCTATCTAAATGCTATAACTGAAACTACTAATATTTTGTATGTGCATTTTACCTAATATGTATTACTTGCTAAACTATAATTATATGAAATGCTGTATAAATGTTGTACCATGATAACTCATAAAAGCACTTGTGGATCTAATTATAAGAACTTGGTATACATTGTAATGTCATGATAACTTAACATGAAATCAGGCCTCATTTATTTATTACCAAGTAGCCATATGCTACAAGTTTGTCTTTTTCCAGGTACCCAGTGGTAATATCAAAAAGTCAAACCAAAAGCATTTGAAATTATCTTTTATTGAATAACTATTACTTGTGCAAGTCATAGCACCAGTCTTGGAATTGGATCTTAGTGGAAACTGTACTCAAGTTTGTTATTTGTGATGCAATTTATGTAGGTAATATATTATACAGGTATATCCTCGCTTATCCAATAAAATACTAATTACATTACATATTTATGTATTCCGGTTCATTGTTGACTTAGGAATTATTTGCGAGTACAGACATGTTTATGTCAACATGTGTAGCAATAGAATTTAGTCGCCACAAGATATTTTTCAAGTTAGTCATTTGGCTACCTCTGAATTTTAGACAGTAGATAAATTGAGATTTAGGTTCCATTGGCGATCGTTTTAGTCACGTCTTTAATCGCACCTGTCCATCCAAATACCACAACAGTTTAAGATAGATATCCTGCTCTAACAGTTTGTATACTAGCTCAAAGCCAGTTCATGTTCCATCCATTAATTGCTGATTGTAAGGCATGTAAACAGCAAGTACAATATTTTAATATTTTGTTTTGTGGTCAGGGGATTGAAGCAACCTTCCACTCCAGACAAATCCTGTGTCCACAAGGGCACAGGTGGTTCACAGGTGCCCACGACACCTACTTGTCACAAACATTTATAGGTAGATGGAATAGTCAAGGATGCAATCCCACTTGTGCAAGAATTTCCCAGACTTAAAATAAGCACTCCAGACAGATGCATTTTAGTGACAAAGGCACATCACATGCTAGTAACATCAATCCTAGAGAAGGTTGGAGAGAGTATTCAATTCATTTACATAATTACACCACAATTATAATATAGTAGCCCTCACATTGTTATTCATAACCCTGATTCCTGTGGTGAAAAATTACACAAATACTTATTAATATAAATTTTTATTAACAATTATACATAAAAAAGGGTACTAAAACAGTTAACTAAAACAAGACAATACATACATGCAACTTAAAAAACACTAAATAACTTATTTTCCACACATTTTCAACGAATTTTAAAATCATTAAAAATGGCTGTGTTCCAATCAATGATTAAAAAAGTATTAAAAATAGTTCGCTGAATTCAATTGTCTCTGATGTATTCATGACGGTGGTGAGATTATGATCGCAGTTCAGGTCTTGATTCATAAACAGGTCTTTTGATTCCAATGTTTAGAAATCAGCATCCAATGTGAACTGATGGTTAGCAGATCCTCCGGACATCACACCCATTCTTTGATATTCACCAACTCGCTTTTCAAAAAAGTTTGTTTTTCCTTCCAAGGAAATGTGTTCCATAAAGTCAAAGGGGTTTTCTGAATTGTACACCTGCCAAACATAACAATAATTAGTACCAATGTCTGGTATGTTTATAGAGCATGTTATCAATGTTATACAATCAAAAGAATGTGCAACAAAACTGTTGTGGAAATAATTTTATGTAATACTTCATAATAGATAATGAAAGATTTCTAGTGCATCCTCCATATAAAGAAAAAGGTTAAGGATCCTTTCATATTACCAGTTAACCGTTATGCCATGCCACATTTTTTTAGCATACAATATTACGTAAGACATCAAATAAGTGTAGCAGATGTATAACTGAAAATGCCAAGATGCAAGAAAAGCTGTGTTCATATTTTTTTACTTTACGCTGACATTTCCTTACCTTTTCACACTGAAGTTCAACAAGAAGTCTGTCAGCTACAAATTCGATGTATTGCTTCATGAGATCACAGTTCATGCCGATGAGGTTTACAGGCAGTGCCTGTGTGAGGAATTCTTGCTCAATTGTAACAGCTTCCTTGACTATTTCATAGATTCTTTCTTGGGAAGGCTTGTTGTTCAAGTGGCGGAACATCAGACAGGCAAAATCACAGTGGAGACCCTTAAACAATAAATCCAGCAAATATTAGTTATGATCTTAATCATTTGTACGCCAACTTAAAGTTGTTTTTTTTAATCATTTGATTTACATATACTTGTGTTAAAATGACATTTGGTTGTCACAAAATGAAATGTGAAACATATTAAGATTAAAAGTAATTTCTTAAAATAGTTGATTTGAGTAAAATGAGTTTATACAAATATCAGTACTGAAAGGGTAATTATTTGTATTGTTTTCATGACAACTGTTTGCAAAGAAAAATATTTTTCCAGTTTGGTAGTCCAGAAAAGTAATGTGTTAAATCGTCACAATACTACCACTTTGCTGAAGAAACAAATTTTGTTTTTAGGGAAAGTAGCTTACCTCATCTCTGCTGATGAGCTCATTGCTGAATGTGAGACCAGGCATGATGCCGCGCTTCTTTAGCCAGAAGATAGCAGCGAAAGACCCAGAGAAGAAGATTCCTTCTACAGAAGCAAATGCCACAACTCTTTCTCCATATGAAGCCAAATCATCATTCATAAAGCGCATAGCCCAGTCAGCCTTCTTCTTGACACATGGCATGGTCTCAATGGCATTGAACAGGAAATCTCTGCAAGAATACAGTAGAGTTGTATAATGCACTAGTATGTAAAATATATATGCACCAACATTAAAGAAACAGCTAGACTGTCAGTGTTACAGAGCAACAAAATATGTGCCAAGAAGATGCCAACAAGAGTGACTGGAAATGTTTAAATGATAGTCGTAATGATTAGTTTTTATATTCAAAATTTAAAATATGTTGGTACCCGCACCTTTCTGCTGCATCTTTGATGTAGGTGTCGATGAGTAGGCTGTACATTTCACTGTGGATATTCTCCATGGCAATCTGGAAGCCATAGAAACACCTGGCTTCTGTCACCTGGACTTCCTGGGTGAAGCGTTCAACCTGAAGAATATAAACGGTTGATTCATTTATAACATGCAAGTTTGTCAAGACACTCAACGTTTGATGTGTTCACACTGTAACTTCAGAATACTTAACCAGACACAAATTGTCGACAATACAACAAGCTCTGCCCTCTTATAACCAATCTGAGTCAGGAATCAGTCTGCTGGTGGTGTGGCCTAGATTTTATAACAATTGCTTGGATAGCACACAATTGACCCTGAATCACTTGCAATTTAGCAATTAGCACAAACAAGGTTTTACAGTTTGGGTATATTGAACTGTCATTTCCTGCTAACTGGGCCCAAATATTGGTCTCTGATCAGTCATCTTTAACTTATAATTCAGTTAACTGGCTTACCAAGTTCTCATTAACAATGCCGTCACTTGCGGCAAAGAAAGCTAGGACATGAGAGATGAAATGTTTCTCATCATCCTTGAGCGTCTCCCAGTGGACAAGGTCCTTGGACAGATCAACCTCTTCAGCAGTCCAGAAAGAAGCCTCTGCCTTCTTGTACATCTGCCAAATGTCGTGGTACTTGATGGGGAATATCACAAAGCGGTTGGGATTATCACGGAGGAGGGGCTCATCTTCTTTCTTGAATAAGTTCATCTTTTTCTTGTGTGTTGGTGCTTTTTTGATTGGCTGTAAAAAGAATATATCTATGAGCAAAGGGAAAACAGTCATCAGACTATTTTGACTTCCGACAAATTATTTTAACTCAAACTTTCAATATGATTGTATCTATATTAACTTATTGTCCATCTGTCCCATTCAAACCTTGGGATGTGCGTTCCTCAGTTCTTACCTCATTGGTTCCATTTGTTGTTATAATATTCTGGAAAAAGAATAACCATAATTAGAAATAGTTTTTATTCATACTTCAAGTTCATCGCATCTAATAAACTTTTTATAAAGGAATAGTCAGACCCTGATATCTCGAACCATGTCTCTGGTCCATACCACCTCGCTATATAAATATGACTGCTTTTCTTGAACATTGGCCTCAGTCACCAAGATTTTAGTAAATATACCTAGTTTATGGGGTTGTGGGGCGGGTTGGGTGAAATGAGGACATACAGAAGCCTTACTAAATGTTGAAGAAAAAACTTCAGCCATTGTGTATATAAATTATTTACCCAACTCAAGTACTTAACACCTACATGAACCTAACATTGAGGAATTCCAAATCAACAAAAATTGAAAATAATTTTCAAACTATCGACCTAACATGTGGGGCCAAAACCCATAAACAAAATATACAAAAACATCTGGTCTTAAAGACTAATTTCAAGGTCAGGCATCACATGTCAACATCCAAAGCTTTGGAACTATGAGAACTTAAACGAGTAATAAAGGTGCCCTGAAATGCTATCTTTATCAAAGAAAGGAAACCTTCAAATTGTACAAATTCTACGTTCAGAAAGAAAAGTTCAATGATTAAAAATATTGGTTCGTTCATTCAGCAAATTAATTAAGTTATTAAAGGAAGGAATTTAGCAAATGCTTTACATCGCTACAGATTCGCATACTAATCATATACCCTTTAGATATACTCACGATAAAATGCATGCACATTGACAATTAGAAGAAAATACAAACCTGTTTCTGACTCTCTCCCAAGACCTTGATTTTCTTCACAGATACTGAATCTTTGTTTGGAACCTGAAAAGCGTTTAATTTTGAGGTTATGGGAAACCATACAGACAAAAGACGCCCCATTGTCACTCGCGCCAAAAAAATTCTTTGTTCATATTGTCTGAGCAAACAATGTGAAATTGCGAAAACATTATCCACAAAACAACTTTCAATCTCGTAAGCAAGACGTAGTCCCAGTTATCAAATGATTAGGACACGTTTCCCATGTTTCTCTCATCAGAAGCAGACGTCTTTTCAGAATCATCAGACAACAAAAACTTTGGGGAAATCAAAATCTTTTAAATAAATTAACAAGTATTACATTTGGCATGGACCATCTGACTACATTTTGTATAAAATTGGCTACCAGATCATAACTTGGAAAAATTTCCATTTGCACGAAAGCTAAGAGTGACGCCCATCTTCGCGCCAAATGTCAAACATGGAATTTTAGTGGTAAACATACCTCATTTTCGTCATGAATCTTCGTTCTTCCGAGCTGTGATGAAATGTCAGCGTCCTTGATGACAATTTTGGTTTTTGGTAGGTGTGAGGACAACATGATAAAAGTTTCAAGTAAAACGTTACAAAACCAAACTAAAATATTTGCCACAAAAGATACAAACACACTCTCTACCAGAATTTCAAGAGTCAATGACAAAAATCCGGGAAAAGATGTTCATAAACTCGCGCGCCGGACGATTATAGCCAATAGGATTTGATTTTACAATATGCGGACCAGCTGTCTTGCTTCGAATTCAATGATTGGACACTTGTGGTATAATCCAAAGGGGTGTCAGATTCTATGCGCAATATACATTGTCATTTCGTCAAGTTGTCACTTTGATCTGATAATATATTATTCGATATGGATTTATAGGGACATTTTCATGCATTTGTAGAAGGTCAAATCATTTGAATGTATGCATTTAATATGTCTAGCTAAGTGACCACCCCTATCGCCTGGACGAGTATATTTTGGTCCTCAGCAACGAAGTAGTACCCTGATTCAATTAATACGCGAGATCAAAGGTTACATAAAATCTGATTTGTTTAAAATTTACATTATTTGTAAATATTCCATAATATTATCATTTCTTTCATGTCTGAATAGCATCTTTCACCAAAGTAGGAGAGGGATGAAAGCTGAACTGTTACAATGAATATGGAACTATTTAGGTAGGAGTAACTTCCGGGAGGAAGTTGTTTCATGGCAGAATGTTTAGACATGGCTGACAGCATCAAAGTGATTGACGAAGATTATGTTAGGAGGATTCATAGTAGAAATCCTTCTGGCCACATCCACAAAGGTATATGACTTATCAAGTGAAAATCATTTCCAAGCATTTAATTGAGGATTTTGCTCCTTTCCCCACCAGAAACAGCCGTGAGCCACGTGCCTTGAATCAATCTGTCCACAGCCATGTTTACATCCTACAGTCTACTTTTATATTTGGCCCCGTGCTCTATGTTATTTTTGAATATTGATTTTTATGTTATGAAGAGACGAGTTAGGGCCCCAATTTCATTTTATGGGTGGCGTCAGTAGCCATGCCTATGCCTTCCTAGTTCTTTACTATGATCCATGTTATCCTTACAGTGCTACCTCCCACACTTTTCATAGACAAAATCACCCAACAGATTATAAAAGCTTTATGCATACTCATGAATTCAACATCTGACAACTGGAGATGGTCCTCACCACTGTGTATCGTATCGATTAAGGAATTGGGGTTCCGGACCAGTGTGCTAAATGTCATCACAATCTCTCGTCTATGTCCATTGACTAAAGTCATGACTCGTAATCTTAGTAAGTGTCCATCACCTATTCGACCCTTTCCACTCTGTTCCGTAACGTTGTAGTCATGGCTAAGTAAATTTGAACTAAGTTCAACAGTGTGGACGTAGCTCAGTCGGGCTAACAATCTGAAGGTTGTGTGTTCGAGTCCGACTGATTCTCAAAAACACTGGTTGCTTGTCTTTGAGACATTTCACCTACAACAGATTGTCCTGAGTAAAAGTTGTGGAACTGTATACTAAAGGTTCTCCATCAAGGGTTCCCCTGTCAAGATATCTTCAACAAAGATGTATAGTAATTGAATTCCTTACTTGTTTAAAAAAAATTGGATTTGTTTTGTAAGAATGTATTGTTATGATATTTACATGCAATTGCACTCCCATATTTCTTTTTCTTTTAAGAAACAAGTTCTGATCTGCTACATGAATAACTCTTTTACTAGGTCATGGCGTCGTTGCAGCAAATGCCTCTATTCCCACCAGGTTCCAGACAATCGTCACAGACAACTCCGACAAGAAGGGGTTCCTCAGCAGGGCCAAAAGATTCCAGTCTGATTCCAATATTGTGAGTTCAGTTAACATGATCTCTACTTGTTACTACTTATTCATGTAGTTCAATATCTGTGTGTGTCTCTAAGAAAATGAATCTCCGGCTAAACCCTGTCAATAATCACCAGTGACTTTAAGGGATGGTGTAAATCCGGCTGGGGTCCATGCAGGTAGCAAAGGTACCGTAAGTACCAAAGTCCCCAGTATGGTGGCCTAACTTTGGTTGCTGGTGATATATGACCCACTTTGAATAGTCAGATTTTATGGTTACATACTAGTTATAAATTTCTATCTGTGATAATCTGGTTCTTTTACTGTCCTTTGTCGATATGTTTTATTCTAATTTTATGTATTATTAATGTATAGCTTCTCATCACAATATGGCTGAAATATTGCCAATGTGACGTTAAATATTAATACACTCACTCACTCTAAGAAAATGACTTCTTGAGTCAGTGCTTTGTGATGTGTATTCTGGTTAAAATCAGAATATTTCCATCTTACTAGGAAGCAGTCGATAACTATCATGTACATTTGGTTAGGACATCAAACATACAGTTTACAATCTCATTTGATAATTTTTATGGCCAACATTCAAGAGTTTGAGAAATCTATAAACATTACCTGATGACTGACCTTAACCAGTTAACAGAACTATGTTACTCTCATTTTTTAATTGAAACAATATTATCGGTTATCTTAAAAATAATGTCAACAAATATTTGTCATATTTGAAGAAATGCTGCTAGAGAGCAGAAACTAATTCCTAGTTGCTAGTGTTGTTTTGAAATTGTTTTTAGACAAGCAAAAATCATCTAAAATGCTCTTCAAATGTTAGCACTTTTCAAGCCAGTATTTATCAAAGCTTAGTGTGGACAGACAGCCAAGTCATTAAAGACCTCATTTCCTACTTTCCTTACACCTTAATATAACTGAAATACAGTCCCATGTAGCATTAATCCAAACAAACTCCCTCAATCAAATCTTAGATCAAACCCTATGTTCTAACAATTAGTGCTAAGACACAAGGGTGGCCCAGTTGTCTAAGGCACTGCAGTATCCTGTGCAGAGTTGATTGTCCTGATTATGTTTCTAGGTTTTTCAGGAGTACAACATGCATGTGGGTTTCACCGAAGTGGTAAATATCTAAAATTTGCATCACATCAAGCTGACATGTTATGCTATTACTGAAGTACTGTTCAAAGCAGCATTAAACCAAATTCACACACTTTGTGATACATTTCTTCTCATGGATTTTTGTATTTTTCCCAGACTGAAGCCCCTGGGCCAGGAAGTTATGTACGGCACAATACAGTTGATAATATGAGTACATCCTTCTCTAAGAAAGGAACAGGAGGATTTGCTTCTAAGGTAGGCAATTGTGTAAACTCTACTGTAAATGGGGGTGGGGTGGGGTGTTTTTTTTGGCAGATATTGATAAAATAATGAAAACTCATTCAGGTAGCTCACTGACCGTATGAAATGCTTTATCTAAATATAAGTGATCAAATTAAAGATGCACACAATGGGCTGATAAACAATGGGGGTGCTTTGTAAAGATAATTTCGCTGATTTTCTATAGTACTTGCAGGGTAATCTGGGTCTTTCCTCGGGTGTCTCAGGTTATAATTTCGGGGTCTTAGCCTTCAGGCAGCCACATGTGGCACACTAGACTTCAATGATGTCATAACATTGCACATTCTCAGAAGGTCAGCACTACTATGGACATGATATAAGGTGAAACATGATTTAGTGATTGGGTGAGGAAGACATTCTGAACATTTATTATATTACTTCTGATTTTTTTTTTTATCTTTTCATTTTTTGGGAACAATAGTTTATCAAAATGATTATGCACTTACCTTTGGTTATTTTCATGGAACAATTGAAAGTGTTGTTATGTTTTTTTGTCCGAATGTTTTCAGTCAAAGCGAGGTATAAAGTATCACCTATCCAGTGCACCTGGGCCAGGGATATATGCTTTACAGAGTACACTAGTCACCAAGAAAGACTTCAACAAAGCTCCCACCTCAAGTGTTTTCCATAAGCCAATAGCTCAGAGGACAAGCAAGCTGAATGGTGTTCCTGCTCCAAACTCTTATAACGTATGTACACAGGGTTGTGTGTGTCATTTTGAAATGCTTAATGGTGAAGTATGCTCCCTGTTCTGATGTCTATGTCAGGTGCCTATTTCTGATGCCTGATATGAAACTGTAGTCTATCAAACAGACCCTGAAACAAATATATCCAATACAGCCCAGACAGCCTAGTCTAGATTTCTGCATCTGAAAATTAAGATAGTGAAACTCATAAACTGTGAGTCTCAGTTTCTTTATGTGTCTGACAATTTAGACAGGGTGGTGGGGTAGCCTAGTGGTAAAAGAATTTGCATGTCATGCTAAAGACAGCAGCTTGATTTCTCACCCAGGTACAATGCATGAAGCCTGTTTCGGATGTTTTCCCACAGTGATATTGTTGGAATACAGCAGGGCACTCAGATTTGTCTGTGCTTAAGCAGACTCTTTTTACTCTAGGGTTTCCATTATTTGGGTTATTATATGTAACTATATAACTGTTCTAAATATATAGGCTTGACTCAGAAAGTAAATTAACTCAAAATTGTGCTTCGGAAATTAGCTCTGTTGTACGCATGCTGAAAAAGCTTCATTGGGTATTTACGCGAACTGTTTTTATACATTTGAGTTTTTCATTCAATGCATGCTTTTCTGTACGCAAGATAATTGAAAGTAATTGGGTTTTGAATATTTTTGGGGAGTATTTTACGCAAATACGCAGCATATGCTAATGTTAATTTTACCCATTATTTTGTCATGCTTGTATTACATATAAAAAGTATATATTTTTACATTTCATTCTTCATATAAAGATATTGTTCAGCTATATTGTGATGCATGATTATTGGTGATGACTGAAACCAGTTACCCAGTAACAAACCCATGATCTAAATGTAAGTGTCCAAATCAAATGTGAAGAAATTTATTCCGTAATTCACAGAATCGGTACATGATTAGATACAAACAGTCATCAATTATATGACATCACAAGCTTTTTGAAGAAATGTGTTGTTTCAAAGTTTAAAATAACGAAACATTATTTGTAAACCTGTTATGATGGTGATATTCAGCAGATACAGTATAAGTATAACTAATGATTATTCAACCCCAAAACCCATTAACTCAACTGATTCTCAACTGTAGGATATTCTGTTGTTGCAGGTGTTGAAATACAAACCAGGGAAGGTCAACAATGTTAGTGCTGACTCAGCATTCAAGTCGCAATCCAAGAGAGATATGTTGAACACAAAGGAGGCAGCATCACTGCCTGCACCATGTGAGTTATCTTACTTTATATTAGCGTATTCCAGTGTGTGTCTCTGTCAGGTTGCTAATATATCGGAAATTAACTGAAGTTTCATTCATAAAGAATGTATAATAAGACCATGACAAACTTTACATGCTAATAAGACAAATGGTGCAACTCCCGTCATGGATCTGTGATGTCACATGTGATGCGTTCATGAGTATCGGTTCACACAACATACCAGTATGTTCATTGGTGGATCGAACCAATGTAATATCACTTAAATATGAATAAGTCTTCATGTATTAACCAACATGTATGGTATTCACGTTTCTTTTGACAGTGAATATATGTAAAGGATCTGTTAGTGTAGAAAGGGTTATAAGATATTACACAAGCTTCAAATAAATATAGAAAATGCTGTCCAGGTGCAGTGTGACAGATATCAGTAATGACCGAAGATTTGAATGTTCATATTGTGTGTGACCATGTTGACCTTCCATACAGGGCAGTACCAAGTAAAGGATGACCTGCTTCACGGATCTGTGAAGGCTCCGGTGTCAAGTTTCCGCTCCAGGACTCGAAGACAGATGCAAGCAGATCCTCCCGCTGTAAGCTGATGTTTATTCCTTCCAGATTAAGTCGTTGTTTTGCTGGTCTTTCTCAGAAAAAATAACTTAGGAGAGGCAGGGAAAAAATCAAATCCATGGTTTCAAAGGCTTAGTCTTCAGTGCAGTGTTTTGAATAAATGAAAACATGGTTGACAGACTAGGATCTCATCGGAGCAATATCCCCCAGTTATGATAATAAGTGTGGTTTTTAAATGATGGATTACATCTGACAGGGCCCTGTTCCACAAAGCAGTCTTAGCGCCATGATGGTTGTAAACCAATGTTAAAGTATGGGAGTTATGATCACCTTTGCGCTAAGAACGCTTTGTGGAATGGGGCCATTGTCTCTCCTCTTTACATTTTCCGCAGTGGCAAGGTGTCAGATATATAGCAAACTCTTTACCTATGCAAAATATTTATTGTGTCACAATGTATTTTACAGGTTTATTTTTTATTGCCTTGAATATTAAAACAGTGTTTGCAACATGAATAGTCAACCAGATAGAAGACATGAATGATTACTTTTGACTTCCATGGAATAACAGACTGGCATCTATTTGGAACACTGCTCTCATTCTATATTTTCTTAATCCATGACTGTTTACCCTATACCATTTTTTCAAGATGCTAGAATTCCTTAGAAAGGTTAAAAGGTGAATTATCTATTGACAGGTTCCTGGACCAGGCACATATTTCTCATCAGGAGACAGAGAACAAGTCAATAAGCAACTATTTCCGTAAGTTATATGTCTGGTTGTAAGTGAAAGGGAAATATTTGGATTATCTCCCCTTGACCATGTCTGACGTGATACTCATACACAGAATCAGAAGTCAAGTCATTACTGTATTATTATACTCGGATCATATTTCAAATAAATGTTCTTAGATTTTGAATGTATTAAAGCAGTAACTAATCAAAATTAATTTGATTTTCATAATTGACAAAAAATGTCTATATAGAGACTTTTATATGAAAATAATCTTAATATTTGCAGGAAGAAGCATTATTTGTGTATCTCAGCCCCAGCAATGCCCCTCCCTCCTGCCCCACCCTCCCCTGGGCCTGGTAGCTATGAGATGGTGGACTACGAGGGGGCGCCCAAGCACTATATGTCTAGTGCAGCATTTGTGTCGGCATCCAATAGGTGGACAGGAGATGCGACCATGTTAACTGTGGATTTGCCAGGACCAGGTAATACAGACTCAATGTTGTTCATTTGGTGTCTTACAATTTTTGTAGTCGCTAATGAAGACGGTGAACGCCTTTAATTTGGTACATTTCATAAAATATGTTCCTCACTAACATTAGATTTTTAGTGGTGAAAATTTGTGATGTTTTGAGGACATGAAAGTTGTTGAAACTTTAAGAATTCATAAATATTAGCCATGGGATGGCTCATATCACTTAGTTATATTTTAGTAAGTCAATGAGAATTAATTATATTATTTCATGCTGATTGACAGTTTTATGCCTATTTTTCCATTGTTTTGTTTGTATGTGAAATGGACAGAAGTAAAGTTAAAAGGCTTTTGATTTCCAAAATTAATTTACTCATTTTTTTATGAGCTTGTAGTTCAATCTCCAAAACGTTTGATGTGATGGGTTGGTTTCTTTTATACACAAACAAGTTCAGGTGCAAATAGGGTCAGTTCAAAGGGAGACAACTCTTCCAGTATTGTTACTATGTTTGTAGTTGTTTAGGAAATTTGAACTTCCATTAGCATTTTGTGTGTTCACTACTTGATTATTTTCTTTTACCCTTGCAGCTCACTATCGGCCACTGACAGTCGGAAAACAGTCATTCATTTACAATTCAGCAGGAAAGTGGATATAGGATGCATGCATTTAATAGGTTGAATCTTACTTCTCTACAAGTTTGTTCACCCTCAAATCCGTCCAGTATTAAAATCATTCTATTTTTAAGATGAATCAACAGGCTTTACAGGAGGAATGCCACTTTGATGGACATTGTACCTTTTATGAAGATGCGTTGTGATAGTAGCCTTTAACTATCGTTCACAAATTCCAGTAATATTCACAGGCAAAATGACAAATGCTTTTTGCCCTTGGCAACAATTTCAGTGTTAATATTTTTATGTTCTCTGATCATATATGTCATTCGATTTTAGGAATTATTGCCACAAATTATTTTGTTACTGCCACAAAGCTTAGTGTTATTTTGACATTCTTTTTCCTAAGCTTCTTGATTGTGAACTCTTATCATCAGAATGTTATTGTCAGTTTTTTCAAGAATTCATGAAAACAAAAGGGATGTGTATAATTGTGTTGATGCAAATGTTTCTGCTCCTTCCACGATAGCTTTCCAAAGAATTTGGATGTGTATTAACACTTACGAAACCAGCATTGTTTTGTGTCAATTTGACAAATTATTCATATATTTTTAGCATTGAACCTTTTAATGTGGATGTACATAATAGTGAATATATTACAGAATTGTTATATCTACATGTTTATATATTTATTATTTTCTATCCATTCTAGGCTAACTGTGATACTGTTAAAGTTGTTGTGGTGTATATATTTTCACATCAATTTTCATACATACAAGTTCCTGAACACTCAGTCTCTTTGCCTTGCTATTAATGCCTTACATTTATATTGGAACAAGTTGGAACAATGTAACACTATAGGCGCCTTCTATGTGATAACTACTCTCTAACACTTTTTTTATTTGATTGTCCCATTTGACTTTTACAGAGCCTGTAAGGTCATTCAAATATATATACTGAACACACAATTTATAGGTTCGTCAATATTTTTGGGGATATTTTTTATGAAATTCAACTACCAAAAAAATATCCCAAAAATATTCATGATCCTTAATATGTTCAGTTTATGTTGAAAGTTTTTCAAATTTTTAGTATAATTTCAAGATGACATTGAATTTTTGCTTTAAAAATTCATTGGATTATCCTGAAATTCAATAAGTTCAGTTTCTTGAAAAATCAGCATGCTTGAAACAGTCCTAACAGGATTCTGCTGATCTGAATCTTGTATATCTACTTACCCATTAGGTACCACTTGCAATAAGTGTCTGCTTGAACATGACTAATGTCAGTGACATAAATGGAGTGTTAAACTGTATGGAGTTCACTCCTATGATATTAAGTCAGAGAATTTGAATACAGTAGAAATTAAGTCTTTGAAAGGCATTTAGAAGTGATACACATAAGGAAGAGAATTTATGGATGTCAACTTCTTTATTATGAAGAACACAATGTTTCAGAGTATATACTTATTCCTTTATCAGGTGATGAAGATGAAGAAGTAAGCATATACTCCAAAATTTTGTGTTCTTCATAATAAAGAAGTTGACATCCATAAATTCTCTTCCTTAGAAGAAATGAAGTTACAATTTTTATGTTTACATAATATTGTAGTGAAAATATGATTATCAAAAGGCAAATGTCAGTTGTTGAGTTAAAATACAATCCTTTGGATAAATTACCATATCAGAACTCAAAGAATATTGTGTTGTTTATGAAGACAATAAATTTTGATTAATATGAATTCTGAATGTGTCTCTTTATTTGCGTTAGAAATGAATATTACAGTTTTAAAGTTATGTTGCACAATATACTCCTCCAAACAAGTTATAGAACTGTCACAATTGGAAGGATATGTGTCGTCATACCAACCAGCCATGACAGATCAACTGTAGTCATATGAAAAAATTGGGTCTTCTAAACTTATTTTAGTAGTATATTAAGACCAGTACGTTTAGTTCATCTACAATTTGGTGTATAGTTCTTGTACTAACCCAGTTTTAAAAAAATGGAGAGTGAATATTGTTTCAGAATCTATTTTTCACAGCTGAATGAGCAAAATCTTCAATGCTATTGTAATATGATTTACAAATCATACCGACATTGATGTTGAATTAAACCCATTTATTAATAATATTTTTAGGCTAGGTCTTTACCTTCTGTAACTTATTTCGTGAATTTTGTTGAGGTAAGAAACCTAAATCAATACTGACAATTCTTTTTTTTTATATTCGAACGACATCTCGGCTTATAATATTCCATACAGTTTACGAACATGTATTACATAATTTCTGGGTGTTCCAGTGTGCTTTGTGTTTGAATAATCCATGACACTATATTTCGTTAGTAGTAATTCAAGTGTCTGTTGGTGGCACTTTTCGCGACCCTTCCTAATCCTTAACTTTACCTTCATTGCATAATCTTCCCGACTCAAATCAAACGGTCATTAAGAAGACAATATGGCTGCTCCATGTTGTAAGGCAGCTGTCATGCTGTGTCAATAACATCGATTGTTGTTGCCATGTGTTAATTGCGCTTGACGTGGTGGTGTCAATTGGCGTGTAGACTGGAAATTGTCCTCGCGAGATAACACCTACGTTTTAATGCTCTCAGTCCCTCGTTAAAAAAATTATTTAATCTTTAGAGACAGCATTTATGACATCATTTATATTTTTCTTTTTGCCTTTGTTAGGTATGTGATAAATGAACCATGATTGTCAGTTTCGGTTCCTTTTAAGCTTTGATCTATTTCTACATGTGCTTGTTACGATGTCAAGACAAGATTTTTGCGTCAAGTTGGGGCAATCATGTTTTTTGTGTGTAATATCACGACCCTTTGGTGAGATTACTAGAAAAGACGTAAGAGGTAAGGTTAGCCATTAAAATTGCGTAACCGACTTCAACCCGATAGCAGGTGTGATGTACTGTGGTGAGCAGACGACAATCTGTTCATTACCGTTTCGAAGATAGTTTACAGGTCTGTCACATAGTTGTTTGGGGATATTCACATGGAAAAAAAAGAACTCCCCATTTTATCTATGCTGAACTTACACGTATTTTGAAAATGTTTACTTATGGTATTTAACCCAATTATAAATGTCAAATATACTACCGATGACTGCTGGCATATCATTGCAAGAAAACTATCTGTTATTGCAGAGCCACACGTATGGACTCATATCATATAACGCAGAGATGCCTCTGAAAGGAAATTAGCAATCATGTCACAAGATAACCAATTTCAGTTTCTGTATTTCTGTGTGGATATGTATTAATGTAGCCACGCTTTAATCAGATATATCTACATATAATGTTTATTATAAACATGTTAAAGAAGATTGATGATATACACGAATGTGTCTTGGCCAAATTTGCGATGACCTCCAGTTCAATGTTTTACCCCTAATCAACAGACTTGTAACATTTTACAGTTTGAGCATACATGTAACTTATTAACATATTTATGTCAACGTGCAATGATCCGAAAAGTGAGTGAGTAGGGTTTTACGTCGCTGTTATAACAATATCATGGCGGTGGACAACCATTGTACCCATGTGTAGAATCAAACACGAACCTCCAATATTGCGAGCTAAGGTTTTAGCCACTGGGCTACCTCATCGCAACTGATCCGAAAAGAGGATTAATGTGACATATCATGCAGGACTGATTAATTTGCTATTTGGGGGTGGTGGATAGCCTGTTGGTTATAGCGTTCGTTCGTCACACTGAAGGCCCAGGTTCGATTTCCCACATGGGTACAATGTTTGAATCCCATTTCTGGTATCCACAAACGTGATATTTGTAAAAGCAATGTAAAACCATACTCACTCACTCACTCACTCACTCACTCACTCACTCACTCACTCACTAATTTACTGACACGTGAAGATCCGGGGTAGAATAGGTCTTCAGGAACCATTTCTTGCTGTAAAAGGCTTCTGTTTGTCGTAAGAGGCGACTAACGGGATCGGGTGGTCAGGCTCGCTGACTTGGTTGATGCATGTCATCGCATGTCAATTGTGTGGATCGATGCTCATGTCAATCACTGGATTGTCTGGTCAAGACTCGATTATTTACAGACCGCCGTCTTATAGCTGGAATATTGCTGAGTGCGGCGTTTTAAACAAACAAACACAAAGGGTTTGTTGAGGTTTTACGCCACTTTTAAAAATATTGCAGCAATATCACGGGGGTTGGTAGCAATAGTGGGCTCCAGGGTTGTATCCATGTAGGGATCGACCCTGGAGTTTCCTTGTGATTAGCTCACTTCTTTACCACAAGGCTATCAGACCCCAAGGAACTCATTAAGGGGGTGATAAGCGTATGTAAGTTATTGGTTCATGTTAAGAAATATGTAACATAACACAATATATTTATGAACGATCTGTATGATGAGCAGGACACAGCTGACCAAGTGGTCAAATAACGCGCTGCAACACGATGTGCACAGTTGCGTTCCTCGGCCGCGTCAGGATCCGCAGATCATTTGTGTCGAATCCCTTGTTTACCATCAGGAATGCGTCATAGAAGCTAACATACCTCGCACTTTTCGTCCATTAGTTAGATTATATTAATGAATACACAAGTTGTAGAAGTTGTATGATATAGCAATAATCATCAATAGCATTTTATAATCTCATTACAATCAGATCTTAGTGTGCGCTACCGCTACAAAATGTTTAGCGAGAACTAAGATATTACTTAATGAGATTGAACATTTCAGTCATTATCACAGTGTCATTGGGTCCCAGAAGTTTTCCACTACGCTCAACGTACACTATTGTTTCCTCTTTTACTCAGCAATAATGAGTTTTTAACGACTAAAACGTCTTTCAAAACGCAACTGATAATTAATTCAAGACAAATATAGCTCTACAAAAATGTTTGACATGCGTTTGAAGTTTTCATTGGGGTAAAAAGCAATCATTAATACACGTCTTATCCCTGGCACTGATCACAGTTTTAATTGAGCCATTTTGAAGACGATGACAATTTGAAAGTACAGTTCAGTGATTGTCAAAGTTAAACGGTGTCATCAATGCACCTCTAACACAATCAGAGCTCCACAACAATCAAACGCATTCCTAAACTGAAAAAGCTTCGGTGTCAGGACTTTGCCGTTCGAACGCTTTTGTAGAAATACAGCCCACCTCAGCGAAACCCCAACTGTAGAATTTTGAATAGTTTTTGTGACAGTGGTGTTAACAAAAGGAGCAGATTCGAGACAGACTTCACGCCTTCGCGTGGGGCCAAAACCTACAAGAAGTCGTCTGATGCTCTCGGTTTATGAAACAAGAACCGAGCATGCGTAAAACGATCTTTCATTTTCACCTAACGCCTGTTTGTCACGAAATAATATGATACATCGATCATAATCCCGTTGATTGATTCTAACATATCAGTGGTAGTAATTGTAACTCCCTTAATCCAAACGCCATTTTATATAGCTCAATAACTATATAGATTTCTTTTGTACCGAATGGTTTTCGCCGTCTAATCTTGAAAATGTATACGTAACGCTGCCTGCGCATTTTTGATGTGCTCCCTTGCTTAATACACACTTGATGAAATGTATTTATTGCTTAATTCCAATTCACAATGCATCGGAGTCGATAACGTATTCACGAGGCATCACGATTAATTCACATCACACATTCTTTGTCGGAACTCTTCAAGAAAGCATAAAAGAAAATGTAATGAATTTACGGGAAAAAGTAAGGTTGCCCCAACTTCAATGGTTACTGGTTTTGCTAGCAATAATTAATGATGGTACAGGCATTTGTCGTATGTGGAGGGTACGGATGGTCAGGTCACACGTCGCTATTCGTTGTGCAGAGTTTCTTCCCTTTGTCGTGTGAGGATCTGATGATCTTGTTTTGAATACAAGATTCGTACTGATTGTGATCGACTGTTTGTTTACAAGCTGATAGTAACAAAAAACGATATGTAGGACAGGGTAATTATTGTATTAATCTACTGAGGGATTTCGTATGAGTTTTTAACATTAGGGGTTGGGGGGTTGGGAGGGGTACATAGAAGGGACATAACTCTTAATAGCCACTGGTGGCGCTAGTCGGAAAGTCCAGAAATTCCAGCCGAGTTCAGCATGGGTGGAAATTTGGGTTTTAAAGTCAGTTAACTCCCTTGCATGCACCAGGATGTAGTCATTATGTCTTCTGCACGGCCATTATCATTTTGGCACGATTATAGTTTTTTGTTCGAAAGGATGAGGTTTACGCGTTGACATTTAAGCTAACGCATATAAGACGGTGTTCAAGGGTACAGTCAACTAATGTTATATGCAACAGACAAGATATAATTATGTGGTAAAGTTTAATATTGCGTCCAAAATTATTGCACTTATAAAGCGTGTTAGTGTGTGTGTGCGTGCGTTCGTGGGTGCTTTTAGTAGTCCGGGCTAATGCAGGCTTTATAGCGCTAGCCCACTGAGATACCATGCCGCAGTTTAACATGGGTACCCCACTCAGATACAGCATCCTGACTCCGAGCAGACCAGTCTTTGTTTTAGCCCTTTACTGCCAAACACCAGACAATGAAAGCAACAATACCCCATTTTAACGTCTTTTGGTATGGCGTGGTGGAAGATTAAACCCACTACCCTCCGCTCTCCGGGCGGGCCCTCTTTCCACTTATATAACCACAGAGGCTGTCTGGTAGTTATATATGGTGGACGTAAAACAAGTATAACATCTAGGATTGATTCTCACAACCTCGCATGTTGTGAGTGAGTTTGATTTTACGCCGCTTTTAGCAATATCACGGCGGGGTACACCAGAAATGGGCTTCACACATTGTACCCATGTCGGGAATCGAACCCGGGTCTTCGGCGTGACGAGCGAACGCTTTAACCACCTGGATTCCCGAGCGCCCCCCTAAGTGATGAAGGTCATAGACCTTTACAACTTTGGTAAAAGCAACGAGCAAGGGTATGGTGCTGACAAACCTAGAAACAATCAGGCCGATCAGATTCAAACCCATGATCATAGATTTCTGTCACACACCAAAGGGACGCAACGCTGCTCAAGAGATGTATATCGAATCGGAAGAATATGTTGTTTCACTAAGAATGCCTTTTGTTATACAAATAATATCTACACTGGTTAGCGTAGAAAATGACACAGTTTATGATTTGTTTCTCTGCCGAAATTATCCATCTCGTTGTCAATATCACCATTTCTGGTATCCGCCGCCGTGATATTACTGGAATACTGTTAAAAGCGGGGTAAAACCTAACTCACTCACTCACTGGATATAAGTTCTACAGATAAAGTTTTCTTTCACCTTATCAATCAAACTATGAAACAAATATCACATTGTATCAGTCATTTCTCCAACATGGAATAACGTTGCTGTTATCCCTACAATGACTCATGTACCAACACTGGAATACTCAAACCTGAGCACCAGTCACCAACCCTAGTTCTAACCAAACAGCGCACCAATATTAAAGTCCCATACCACGTGACAATAGACGGGCTATGTATATTGACTCGACAACAGAAAGCAGTATGTGAATCGTGTGTTAGCCTCGAGTGGTGGTGTGTTTAGGCAGAGATTATCAGTTCATCAAGCTGTACTGGTCAACTGCGGAGCAGACAACACTTCAATGAAAACGCAGACCACACTCTCATTTTCACTGGATCTTTTTCAAATGAAGCATTATTTTGAAGGAAAAAGTGACATTATCACTCAAGGTGAATTAAGCCTTCTCGCAACTTTGTGTACGCTCCGACGTTGGTACTAAACGCATAAACCGAGGGACGAACTTTGTGCAAAGGTTAATCCACTGATCGTTGAAATAACCAGATTGGACTTGTATGAAAGGAGTCGTACAAAAGGTACAACGATTACCAGGTAATCCAATGTGATAGACTGGTATTGCTGACTCGGGCGTGAGCGCAGCCTATACCTCCAGCGACGACTGTTTCCGCAGGCGTTGTTTATAAGAACTATGCTTAATTAAGCCTAGGCATTGCTGTGCATTTGCTACCAATATGAAGTTTTCTTCCGACGAAAGTCACTCCCCATTTTCCAGCAAATCGGAATCCGCTATGGATGGAAAAAGACCTAAGATCCTTGTAAATAACTTTATGACCGACAATTCTCCAGGCAGGCAAAGAACAAAGTCAGTCTTGTTCAGTGCGGATGAACAAAATGACAACTTGCTAGACAAGAATATTGATAACAGATCGGCCTCTCAATGTCCAGTAGACAACAACAGACGCCGTTCTAAAGGAACCGTTTCTAATGGTTCCCGATCAACGTATAGAAAAGGTTCCGATTCCGTGTCCTCGGAGAAAAGAGACAACTTCACGTCCTCAACTCCGAAGTCCTTGTCTTCAAGTCGAAATAGCGTGTCCTCCTTGCGACGAATTTCTGTGAAATCAGAAGACACGAAGAGCTCTTCACGTGCTTCGGTACAAAGGTCAGAAAGCATGTCGTCTGATTCAACAGAGGAGAGCAATTCTCTCAATCTTTCGACAAATTCTAACAGTATTGCGTCTGCCTGGGAGGTATTCGGGGATCACGTGAAAAACGTGCACGAAACCTCGGACTATGTGTGCCGGAAGTCGCGAGTTTCCTTTCAAGCAAGTGACACTTTTCAGAAGACAATGAAGGACCTTTTTGGTATGCCAGTATACGGGATGGAACCAGAGGTTCCTAAATTCAAATCGAAGGTAGGTAACTTGGGAAGCGTCGCATCTAGACTCATAGCTACTACTCGGAGAAGGCGAAAGGCCACAAGCGAGGAAGAGAAGCGGCTCGCTTTGGAAGCTGCCAAACCCAGCAAGACTGTTGTAGAAAACGCCAGGAGAGGTTGGAGAATAATCAGACGACACGTCAATGAAACTATTGCGGAGAAGAAGGGGAGTAGTGCTGCATTCAACTGGTCAATGTTGACACAGACTGTACGAGGGCTTACTGACATGCAGCGAGCGCGCATTGATCTGTACAAAAGATACGGTATCATCCCAACCGTGCAACCAGATGGGACCACCGCTCATGTGAACACAATGCTCAGTGAAAGAGCTCGTGCTGCGTCTGCTAATAGTTCTACCCCCAGTACGACTCCCCCCATCCGTCCCAAGGCCAAGCATTTAGTTTCGAGGCAGGCGACACATTCAAGAAGGATTGAAAACCACTTGCGGAGACCCAGGGTTTCTTGAGGGTACCCTACGGTAAATATTAAGAATACTGGTGTGAGATTTGGCTAAAGGACAAATGGGGGTATTAAATGATCGAAAAATTGTTCAATCATGAGATCGGATTGAAGTGTATTCAATGCAGCATCATTCATTACTCCCTTTGTTCATCGCGTTACAACATGAATATGTTTTATTGAACTGTGTCGGAATCCGTGCCGGAACCTTGACGTTGGGGATAACTGGAAGATTAATTCTCAATCCATAGAACTGTGGATGTGTGTGCATGAACCTAACGATGAATTAGTTGATTGTGCCATTCTCAAGAGATCAGGTTTATGCTTGCTGGACACAAGTATTGTCTGAAACACCCGTGAATTACACCTGTTTCACACGATAACCGTTGATAACAAAGTCCAAGAAATAGCGCTTACGAGGCGGATTTTCAAAGAAGGAGGGAGGGTACCCAAGTCTTGAAGTGAACAAAAACATTTGCCAGGTTGACACCTGAATCCGTCAGTGGATTTGTCTGGTCCTGTAGCCCTCGCATCAAACTAACTTTCGTATTTTGATTCGCTTGTTCCCCTTAAACAAGAAATGCTGTGAAGGGCTATGGATCTGGTGTGTTGGTCGACACGCATCAGGTGTTCCTTCTCGGAGTGAAGCTACTATAGGACACTTCCCCAGCTATCGTACATCTCCTCCACAGTCCAGTGTGGAGGTCAGTGACGTGATGGGGCAAGGTACGTCGTCGACTCCGGTCATAACGAGCTCCACGGATCTTCAAAATAAGTTCGTTTTCCTTCAAATATGTCGTGTATTTCTACTCCCTGGGGATAATTATTTGGTCGTTTCAAACGACGTTTCGTTATATCCGACTTCATTACATCAGGAGATGGCGGTGTCGAGATTTAATTGTTCTGGAACTAACGGTACTTCTCCGGGACACACGCGCAGGGAGTGTGTCATTTGAATACAAGCAGATGCCATGCGATCAAACACAACCGTGGTCTCAAATGCATACTGTATTACAACTATACCTCTAACATAACCTTCTATTTCGATAACTAACACATTCGGATAGCTGGACAAGAGATGCCTCTGTCGATCATCAAGTACTATAATGTGTTTTGCAACCGGAAGGACATTGCTGTTACATGTGCTGATATTGTGACTTATCATCTACTAAATGCTCAACTAATACACAAACGTGAGTCTACATCACCTTTTATAACAATAAATAATATGTCTTAAATGTTTCTACGTGTAATCCTTTTACAAGTATTTGTGTAACCCATGGAGTGTTCTTAAACGCATGTACATGCACGATATATGTTATGGTGACTTTGGAAAGTAATCGGGATAAAACACACTGATACCAACTTGCAGAAATAAAAATAGTAATTGTGTTATGTCTACTAGGGACGCAGAGTAACGTTGAAAGCATCTGTCTAACTCGCATCCAGCTTATTGAATCCCCAACGATTGTAACATTTATCTATTTTCACGATTAAACGCCTGGATTTTCGAATTAACGCAGGGACTCGATTAAACATCGTGTTGTTTTTTTATGTACAAAACTCCCCCCATTATTATCTTTGCGATTTTACACCGGGGGTGAAGAGTGTCTAAACAAATTATACAGCAGGGAGTATAATCGAGAGAAATACGATATTTGAAAACTTATATCGAGTCTTTTATTGGCGTTTTACCAAAATCATGGCATGCACAAATGACAACACTGCGTACTTCTGTCATAAACGTCAGTTGAAAAAGGCATGTGCATTACCAACCTACTTATTCAAAGAATATGTCCACTTTGCACATCCCAAGATCTTGTGGATGTGTTTCAAATAATTTTATGTGTCTTATTTTACTGAAGAGACAGACATGTTCATTTAAATCAAGTTATTAACATGAACACCGCTCAATGTATATACTGCTTCAATTATTTCAATCCAAAAATGTTAATGGTTTGACAAAAATGTTAATACATTTACATTACATACTTTAAAATAAGGCCATCATTTAACTCTGTTAATATTCTGTTCTGTCTATCACATATTTTCCAGTGTCGAGTAGACGACCATGTCCTGTTCTTATAAATAAGATTTATTCCTTCTTTATTTTCATAAACCACGAACGTCTATGCATCTTTGGAATGTTATATGACACCACCGATATCTGATTAAAATTATAAGAACACGTTGTTCGTGCAGGTGGTTTGCAAAGATTCTGTCTTATACGAGGACGGGTCTGAAAGTTCTGAACCTAACAAACAAAACCAACAATTGTGAAAGTGCTTTTAATGTTATTTTTCAACATAATCTCCCTGCTCAATACACTTCTCATATCGATAGTGAAGCTTTTCAATTCAATTCCAATTCGATGAAGCAAATCAGCATAGTAGGCAACGGTTATCGTGCTACCGGTAGAACAGGACATGCTTACACTTTTCGCGAACACCTGGTGTCATCGCTGATTTTTAGTAATTCATTCATATAATTTTCTTTAACGCCCTATGGAATTTGTTTCGGCAGATATTCGAGACGAAACAGTAAGCTTAGTTGTAAAACATGTACTTATGAATAATCAATGTGAAAAATCACAACAAACGTGTTTCGTCAGAATAATAAATACACGATCGGATTAAAACATGCGTATTTTTATATAATATTGTTAGCGGTGCATAGTTATTTATCAAGGGCATATATGTCATAGCTTGTTTCTAAATCCAATCGCACAGTATCTATATGGCCAGTTTGTGTAACCCCGCACATGCTTGAATAGATCAGCAAATATGACAAGGAATAAAGTATCGACCACTGACCTCGAGTTTGACCACTGGACTAACACCAAAGCGCCAGATCCCATTAAGAATCGGAGTCAGTGATGCAGGTAGAAATAGGTAAATACGGTTTATGTGCAATGGTTAGATAACTAACTGAAGCTATTATACACACATTATATATAATGTATACTGTATTATACACACATTTTGTATATTGTATAGTGTATTGAAGGACTTATTACGTGAAAGTCTGGTTATAACATCGGCACATACATTTGGCAATGGAAATGAAGGGAAGACAAAAACATCTATTGTCAAGGGGCGAAACAGGCATAGTGTTGTTGGGCATTTATTATCTAACGTTTGCGAAAAAAAGATCATAACAAAATCCGCTGAATGACAACATACGTTTAATCACAACCAGATTACAAATTATGTGAAGAGATGTTTTCAATCTGCCTCTAACACAGACACAGGTATGCACATATTGCACGTGCAAAACGTGCCTTACCCGTTCCGAAATTCAACAGCCTGTTTTCGGATCCGTTGCCTCCACGGGCCAAATGCCTGTTGTACAAGCGGCACACCAGTTTTACCCTTCCAAGACAGTGCTTAATTGATTACCATTTCCAACTTGGCAGCGAATGTCAAGTTATAATAAAAACTACTATATATATGTATGTAATTCTAACAATTAGGTGATATCCGTTGTCCATATTGAATGTCCTGTTGAAATATTAACAGGATATTGAAACGTCTGTTGAACAAAACATGCTTCGAGGTATGGGCGGGTCCCCCGTCATGGTTGTCACTTTGCCTTAATTTGTGTGTAAAACCCTAGTGAGCATATTCATAGACACGTTCCTATGGTCTGTTTAAATCCATGCATACATAAGACGTGTTTTCTTGTTGAGCGTTGGCGCAACGTTCTCGTGGTGCGTCTGTATCAGTCCAGATGTATGCCTGTTTCATACTGCCAGCCCACTGAGATACCATGTCGCAGTTTAACATGGATACCCCACTAAGACAGTATATCGACTCCGAATCAACCACTCCTTGTTTTATCCCTAATGCCGAGCGGTCAGGCAGGATAACAAGGTTTTACAGTATGGTAATTATTGTTTGATTAGATGAACTTCGTAGGAACACTACTGCTTCAGTTATTGTGAATAGTGGTTAAACTCTGAGTACGGTTTTCGAGTATGATATCGTAGATAAAGTCATGGGCCCCGTCGGGTTCAATGGTAAACTATCGGGCCATCTTAGACTAACGTCTAGTCTCAGAACTGAACATATTTTACGGACAAAACAGTTGTCAAATTATAGTTATAAAATATAATCATTACTGATACTGCAGTAATCTAGACTAGCTAAATATTATAGACTTGCATGGGCTGTATTGGACACATTTGTTTCAGGGTCTGTATGACGGACAAGGGTCATCTTATAAGGGATATGTTTTGTTTAACTATGCTGTTTCATATTGGGCACACTCGGGTCATACACTGTGCTCATAACACAATGTTTATAGTGCGACCGATATTCATCAATATTGATCAATAGTGATCGATATTCTATATTTAGATGTCTTCTATTATTACCAGAGAGCCGAAAATAGATCACGATTAAGGAGTTCCATATCGGTAGATGTTGGAGCCATATGGAAAATAATCTTGATCAATTCTTGCTTGCGCCCCCGAGCACCCGGTACAAATCGAGCGATTATTCCAAGCGCTGCTTAATTCCCCAAACGAGGCTTCCGATATTGTTCTATTTTAAGAGTCAAGGTTTCCCCATAGTTCCTTGTTTTTCGAATTGTGTTCAATCAAGACGTTGTAGCGATTGTGATGACACTGATGTCGTGTGTAAGAAGGCCTCACCCCATTTGTGTGACATCTTAATATCACAAAGGTCACGGTTGACTTCCCCAATGTATGTTACCTATGAGGCTAAATGGATTAGTCCCGATCATATCCCATTTGGCAGACACCTCACGAAAATATAAAGCATAATAAACCAAAAGGCTTTAATAGTCATGGGCTTTAATAGTCACACAAATAATTCAAATAATTTAACTGTCTGGATTTTAGCTGGAGAGAAAGGTTGGCCTATAATGGCTGAGCATGCGTCTTGGGGTGTGACTCAGGAGACGACGATAGGCAGTAATGGTACGACTGGGCATCAGAGCATACACAAGAGGATAACATCTCATATGTTCTGACAAGCCATCTCTACTCCACTGTTTAATAACTGAGGTGTCTGACAACTGGGGTATGACCTGTAAGTAGGGAAATTCCGTTCTCAGGTATTTATGTCACGTGTTACTTGTGGTCTTCCAGCCTTTGGGAATCGGTCGATGGCTGCCTTCAGACATTAAACCACCACCTTAAGACACGCACCCCTGTTATTATAATTGCTTCTTCCTCGTGCTGCTGCAAATCTTTTTTCAACTTACAATCACCATCCCCACGCCACGGGCGTTAAGTAACAATGCTGAATTCAACACCTATAGTATACACTCCATGGAAAAATGTGTACCGTGCCTAGCTCTCAAAATTCGACTTAAGGAGAGGTGAATCACGGTTCATAACACAGATATTGACATTAAAACTTCGCTCTCGAAATCTTATCTCTCTCGGACCAAAGGTTGAACAACGCTCCGTGATCGTTCCCGATGTCAGCCGGGAGATCACACACAGACACTCCGAATGACATGCAATCGGAACATACCGGATGATTACTAATACACCTCTGATTGATCTAGTAGCCATGTTGGAAAACATAACTGGGCACCTTTATTTATGTTTCTAATTTTGAGTAGATGAAATGACGTTATATATGAGTTGGATTTGTATTTTTGTAGGTTATGTTAGTTTCTTTGGCCTTTGCATGGTGTTTTGCCTTTTGGCTTTGTATGAGGACCAAAATTGTTTTATGATCATTCCGATTTTTTTGTTTGAATTTTAAACTGCTTAAAACTCGCACATTTTCTATCTAATTACATTCACAACCTTTGCTTTTCGTCGAAGCTATTCAGGAAAATAATGTGACGAGGCTAGTCGACATCATGTAGAGGAGATCATACAATATAAACAAGCACTTGCCTTTCCAAATAGCCACTTTAAGGTTTAAATCTCTCGTAAGAAGGCCGGGGTCGACCCCTCCCCTCTCGACCTCTATATGCTGTGTTTGCCGTATCCACCTATATAGCTTTGTTTGTTGCTAATACAAACACGCCTAGAGCACCACGTTAACACCCCCTTCAGACGAAAGAATAGAAGTAATGATAAAAGTAAACTGTTCGAGGATTGTTGTGAAGATATGTTTTAAAATGGTTGTAATATGTTATGAAGTGCAGTCGTGATAACATAAAAAATACACATGTAGTTAAAATTGATCGACTATTTGCTAAGTCGAATCTTTGTTTATAACACAGCTGTGTCCAGTTTGTTTCCTTATGTCTAATTA